TCAAACTGATCAGCGCTCAGAAGTATGTGATGGGTTTAAACTAGGCCTTTCCCACAATGTGCGTCAAGTTGCTAGCTTTGGAATAGACTTCTCACGGGGCTTGTTAGCAGTATATGTTGCGTAAATGAATCCCCCATTGCAATGCATGCCATACAATTAACATGGACCACCCCAAAATATATACATGTAATCTCGGTACGTAATAATAATGTTAGAGTCATCAAATTTGTTCACTAAATATAGGTAGACGAGATGTACCATGTGGTCGTACTACCGTACTATACTATAATCGCTCTGATTAAACTAAGCAAATATATTAGATTCATCCGAAAATAGTACTAGTAAAGCTTCCAAACTTGTAGCTACTGACAACACATAACCACTCAAGCATATAGGGGGTAATATGAACGGGCAATGTAGCTCATTGCTCAGCCTTTACCCCATACTTTAACGGAAGGAGAGCGCTTTTGGGTCAAAGTAAAAGAAGAATATTAAAAGGTGATGACCCAAATCAAAATAGTAAAAATTAGGTCTTCTTCTTCGCCATTTTGTATTATATTATTATTGAATCGAAGAAGCAAAGAAGAGTTTTTTGTTTTTTGGTCAATAGCAAAGAAGAGTTAAACAAAGGTGTTATCCGATGTCTCTGAAGGGACAAGAAGAACACGATGTTAATCTGAAAAGATTCCATAAAATTTACATCAACATATTGTCAATCTATCTCTGTCAAGAAAGAAAAAAACAACATATATAGAGTAAATCTCAACGGGAATAAAAATCTGCATGTCACTGCCTGTATGCCTATATTTAATTCAGACCAGTCGGGGTGACATTGACAAAGATTTGAGAGATACCAACTACCCGTGGTACAAAATTCTTACCCTTAAATGAGAAGTAAAGATGATTGAGTGTAATACAATAGTTCTTACTTTATTTTTATTTTTATTTTTATTTTATATATAATATAACCAGAATGAAGGCCTTGAGATTTTTGACTAGATGAAATATTTAAATTAAAGCAAATAATTAACATCTTTCAATTGAAATATAGATTAATCCGATCACAATAATGTTTGGTGCCATTGTACTAATTAAAACCTTGAATCAAGCTACAAATAAAATACCTACGTAGGAAGTTTGCATTGCACTGCGAAAGACCTTCTATTTGGTTTGAAAAACCATCTGATTTTAGTTTAGATGTTCTATTTTAGGATTGTAACAAGTAGTTTTTTCGTGTATGATTCTAAGGAACTGGGGGGTGCTCTATCAGGGCCTGTTTTGCAGTCGAGAGGGTAGACAACTTATTTAGTCCGATGACTGAACCTTTATGTGTAGAGATATTAGTCTAATCATGTAGAACATAGTCTGGTTTTTGTACTCGTTAACTTCTCCCCATCAATAAAACTTATCGTTGATACTAAAAAAACAATAAAATAAAATAGAGATGAGTCGATCTAGGGCTTATACAATTCCTCACACTCATTATTGGTCAGAATTCAAGTTTTAACTTTTATTTTTCCCTCCTTTGAATCAAAAGAAGAGAGGATCGAGCCTTTGAACTATTTAAGATGAAGACATAAAACATAAATGTTATAATATTCTTATGCACAACATGAACCTAATAGCTATGGAAATTCTTAAGTTGTAAAACGCATATCCAACTATTTAAGTTCAAGATGTTTCAACTTAATTACTTTGAGATGGGATGGTTTGCAGCAACTATACTACTAGACATCACGTTGCTACACAGGTACCATTTTTGGGGCAGAATAAAGGACACCCTATTGCATATGTCGCCAAGTCAACACATTTATAGGCTATATAGCCAATGATGGCACCCTCTTCCCCTCTCCTCGCAAGGACCATACATTTAAGTGCTTGGAAAAGATAGGATAAGGAAAAAGAAAAGAGCAACAGAATTTTATTCTCTTTTCTGTATATTTTACAACAAGAAGACTTAAATTTATTTCAAGTTAAATTTTAGCTAGGTATAATTGGAGATATGAAGAGAACCAATCACAAGTTTCCAGCTCACATACTCACCCCTAGCAGTCATGGTGATCAATGTTAGAGTGAAAGCAAGAAAGAAAAGAGAAAGTGGATTTTTGTTATGAACGACTTGTACTAATTGCACTACATAATCAGATATAAACCACATACAAATAATAGACTGTTTTTTTTTTTGGTCAATTAGCAAACTAATTCAAAAGATTTTTAAAACTGTTGTGTCCAGTTTATTCAAAGGATATTACTTGTTTCATTTCTGCAAATCACGGTTTAATACATGTACAAAAATAACTCATGAAAAACACAAAATACAAAACTTTTACACAACATGTCATTGGCAGGATTGTAAAAATTCCTCCTTACATAAAAAGGAGGGAAGTATTTTCCATATTCAAAATACACAGTTCTTCGAAGATCTACTATACCAAAAAAAAAAGTTTAATGACCAAATAATCCCCTAATAAATGTGTGGCAGTAACTTTGAGGCAAAAGCTTTGGAGGTCACGTTATTCAATTAGGACCAAAAAGGTACTGTAAGTGTACAGACCACTATTATAGTCAAAAGTTTTCTTCCACCTTTTACATCTGTTTTTGGATCTCTTTATTCAGTAAATAATAATTATATTTAGGTTTTATTTTTATTTAAATCCTTGGATAGAGGGATCGAATCGAAAAAAGCTTTATCCGTATCTCACATTTTTATGTCTTTGAGGCTCTCTATATATTGGGCTCTCCCTGCTATGTTAATTCCCTTTCTCTGTCTTAAACATGAATTCCCACTAAGAGGACAAAGCAATTAAAAACAAGGGTTATTAGTAAAAGATCAATTAAAATTTTGTTACAATGTAACATTTTATAATCTGACTTTGTCAATTTTTTGGTTTAAAGTTATGTGTCATTTGCATGTGATACTTTTAAAGAGTATGTCAATCTTCGAAATACTAATAGAGCTTATCTGAAAATTATCAACACGAACGTGTATGGATTGTTATTGAATTTAGAGTTTATACTTTAAACACAAAGACTGCAGTTTTTTTTTAAATGCAAGCGATATTGGGAGGGGAAAAATTGAATGTAGGACCTTAAATGCAGGGATAAATGCTCTTAACCATTTAAACTACAAACCCCTTGTTATTGCACATATTATTATAGGTTACATAATAAATCAACTATAGAGAAAGATGAAATAAACCTTTGGAATGTGGGAGAATAGAAGGGAATGTGGGAAAACGCCAAAGGGAAAGAACCCAATTCCCCTAACATTCCTTAATGTCTCTGATGCCACACAACAAAACAAGGTCCCTTTGAAGTTTGAAGAACGCATGCCTTATCATGCTGACACAAAAACACACACACATTCCCCTAATGTGAAAATTGCCCATCTCTCTCTCTTTCTCTCTCTCTCATGTATATATTGGCTCACCTTTTCAAGCTCCCAACATGGATTCTCTTTGCCAGTGCAAAACCCATCACCTCTCTCAAGAGATAGTACTAGATTCTATTATCACACTTTTTCTCCTTTCATCATCTTTAAATACTTATGGAGAGAGAGAGAGAGAGAGAGAGAGAGAGTTTATATATTATATCGTCTACTTTTATTTTGCATGGGAATTTAAGGGCTAGCTAGTGATCATCGATCCTTTTGAGTCAGTATACAATAATATATAGAGAGAGCATAGATAGTTGAAGAACTTTTATATATCAGAGAGCCCCACTCCCACTCTTGAAGTCATCATTGCAAGTGAGGTGGGTGGGGATGGATGGGTTGCTTTTTGCTTTGTTCGATCATACCCTTTTGTTTTTTTGGTATTGGTAGGGTTGTTTGAAAGGAATGTCTCTTTGCTTGGGCTTGTAAATTTTCTCGATATTATCTTTGAGCCTCCACTTGTCTTGGATTTGACCACCTGTGTGTGAAATGGAGGAACATTCAGGCACAAGCTCTGCTTGTCGCTACCTAATTAATTAATCATTAATTCGCAGTGTTTATTTGTATACAATTCTGATCATTTGCTCTGGCACTATTCCTTTGATCATTAACAGTCTCTGATGATGTTGTGTTTCATTTGTTCATATAGAACAAAATACTGTGATGATGGAGTCAGATGTCACATTATTTGATGACCAAAATTCATGAAAGGTTTATTAACTAGCTCTTAATTAGGTGAGTGATATTTTAATTTTTTTCATGTTAAAAGGAGGTCTCGGGTTCGAAATCCATTAATAATGATACGGAAACTGGGATTGTTTGTGGAAATTTTTTTATGAGCACAAAGAGACTCCTTTCTGCAAAAGAATGGGGGAGAAAAACAAAGAAAGTGACTTCTTTGGCCGCAGTTACAGTTGTGAAATATGCAGTCACTCAGTTATGTACTGATTACAAATCAACAGTTTTGATTCTTGTACAACTTTATACACATAAAAGCCATGCATAAAGCTGTATCTACATCATTGATATATACCATGTGTTTCTTGTAATTAAATTCTTAACTTTTGTTCACAGAAAATCAAAGCATTACAAATTTTATTTGGGGCCGGTGACGGTGATGATCTTAAAAGGAAAAAAAGAGAGAGAAACTGGCCTTAAGATTCCTTTCTTTTGGACATAAGTTTGGATCATAGTATTCATAATCTATCTGATCGAATCCAACTGATCATAGAATACGTGTTATATATGGTGTTGAATCATCCGAATGTTTATTACATGGCATCCTTAATGTTTCTGATCCTAAGATGTAAACCTCTGCAACTACAACAATGCTGCTATAATATTCTAACAGAAATAAGATAGTCTACTTAAATTTTCTGCGATGATACAATGCTTATGGCCGAAACGAAATCTCTTAATCGTAGGGTTTGAGGTTTATAGGGTTTAGGATTTATACTGAAAAGAGAATGAAAGTCTGAAACAAAATCATGGATTTTGGCCATAAGCGGACATCATCAGAATAGAAATATAGAGGATTGAACCCGTTCTAATATTCTACAGTCTATAGTTACGCACCAAGTAGGAGCTGAAGGGCAGCCCAGCTGTTACCGGCACACCCGTTCACCATCACCCCCACATAACTGAATTGCTTGATTGCCTTCAAATCTGGTTGAAAATGGGGACCTATGGACTTGAAGTTGATCAAGTATGGGAACTAATTAGATCCTGACCGACCTTTCCTACCATGGAACCTTTCTTGTATCCTATCTTGTCCAATTGTACTATAAGTCTCTCCATTAGCATGTCGAGTCGCGATCCTTAGAGGGTGGGCTTCTGTGTTAAAAACCCATTCATCCAAAGAGATAAACGATGGAGGTGAAAAGAGGAGATAGAGATACTTCAGCGTTTCTGCGAGGAAGAAGCTCTGCATCATATTGTCTTTCTCACCTGAACTCACCTGAGCAAAATTGGCTAAAATACTTCAGTATAAATATTAATGTATTCAGGGATGTAAACATATACAGTATAAACACAAAAGGAGAGAGTCCAAATCTTAACAATTTGGTTCTTTATTTTGCAACACATCAAGATATATGCCATGAGAATTACAAGTGGTTCAGGGCATATATGCAGCACATCAAGGTATATGAGAAAATTTTCTTGTTCATGGCTTATATTAAGTTCACCAACAACCTAACTTAGTGCTGCATATGTCTGAAAAGAGAGTACTCTTAAACATGCTGAAAATACAACTCAGATGTGGGAACTCTCATTCAAACCAACCAGTCTGAGAAATTGCAATCTCCAATTCATGCAAGCAACCAAAACTCCATCCCAAACTGCAGAGTCTAGGAAAGATTCCAGCCACATTGCACATATATGGGCACTTACAACAACATAGGAGTGAGGAGTAGCAAAGGGTTTCGTACATTTATATGTAACCTTCCCTTATATTTCTTTCTTTCCTTCTATTTTCTTTTGATTTATTTTTTGCATGAACATAGCGAGGGTGCAGTAGGAGGCAACATAATGAAGTTTTCAAAATGAAAATAATAGTGCAAGATGATGAAAATCATTTAGTCATGTGAGTCTTGATTATATGTGTGTTTGTATGTAGTACCTACCTCAGAATTCAAAGAAAATAACATAAAATTCATTTCATGACATGTTCTTACATCTTTAAGTCCACTATATCCTGTATCTACTCGAGAGTTCTTTTCAAATGCTTGGAAAATATTCCAACCCCATTCTTGGTAAGTTTTGTTCCCAGTTAAACGCCATAGGTAAAAAAGTGACTCCACCGTCTCCGGCCTCAAAATGCTCCATGGTGTTCCAACGGTCATGTCCTGCAAAATTTTCTGATATCAAGCTAAAATTACTAAAACATCTTAGTGTAAAGTATAAGAAGCATGGAAGTACAAGACCTGTCCAGCAGCGAAGTAATAGTTCTCTCCAGCCAATTTTGTAGGTGTTGTCTGATAAAAGTTATAACATGTCCATGCAAGCTACATGATAAATAGCAATTCAAGACATAAGCTATTGGATACCTGATAAAATTATCGTTTGATTGTGCTTATTAATTGTCGAATCTGGAATAGTAAAGGTTAAGAAGCTGTGAAATTTTGTTAGCCAAATTAGATTACAATCTGAAAGCATCGCTGTATAGTTCAGGTGGTTATAGACACTGAGTTAAGTTATAAGTAATCCTCTTCATTCGCAAATGAAATTTTAATTTTACCCGTGTCTAAAGGGTAAGTTATCCATAAACGATTGGATATAATAAGAGCAGGGTTTATCCACATCCATAATGTTATGGTTGATAGAATCTGAATGATGCAACATTACAAACACTTGAAATCAATACAGATGAACAATTTTGGTTGCATACCAAGACATTAGGGTAGAGTTAAAGGTAAGATAATCCAAGACATTAGGGTAGACTGTACTAAGGTATGACAATGCACACTTCGAGCTCCTGTATCTACTGCTAATCCTCTAATCTCCAGTCCACTCTAGAACAGCTTTTTCCCCCTTCTTTTCTATCGATAACATCATTTTTTGCGGAAATCTTTGGGATTCTACACAGAAAATCTCCCCCTTAAATGATGAAAAACGTTCAGTTTGATTTTCCTGTGTACACAGCCTTTTGTGGACTTATTTGTATTAAACCAAATTATTTTTTGACTTCATGTTTTTGTACAACATCATATGACCCCAAACCAAAACTGTTTTTATTTTATATGGCATTCCATACATACTTCTTTCACATCCCTCCCACCACCCTTCCTTCACCCTTCCTCATTCCTCTCTCTTCCATATACTTCCTCTCTATCTCTAACAAAAAATGAAAACTAAAAAATAAAACGAAAAGTTTACCAAATGGGCCCTTAAATTTGAATATTCTATTCAATTTTTGTGTCAGTCTCAAATAAAAGCAACTCTTACATGTTTTATGCAAGACAGAGGAGAAATTTATTCCTTACGCTCCTTGTATAAATCAGTGTACCCTGTACCTAATCAGAATTATGGAGCATCAGTTTACTACACTATAGTATTTAATACGTTTTTTCTTCTTTTTGGTTGACATGACAATTATTAATCAGGTGCTTCAAAACTTCCATACATAAGAGGATAAACTGAGCCTACTCTAGCAAAATATGACCTCAAATACTTTCTCCAAAGTACCTCTTCAGCAAGGGATAAAAAAATTTCAGCTTCATCAGTGCCATAGCCAGTCGATCCTAAAGCCAACATTCCAGGAGCAAAGCAAGCTAATTCATCCATCTGCATACACCAAGCACAGCCCTCCAAAGTGTTCACAATTTAATTGACAAACACTACATTCTGCTAATTCATACACTACCTTATCGGACAGCGAGCTTCCAGTCTTCTCACATATATATGCATATGAGGATGGTGTTGTCCTCCGAATCAAGCTTTTCAGACCTTTCATTGATGTCTCCCACATTTCTCTGATTCCAATATAGATAGGCAATGATTTTGTCATAACAGAGATTCAATTAACTGCCTCAGATGAGATAAATAAAGGTCATAAAAAATTGTCATAACTCATCAGAGAAAAGAAGGAGAGCACACATGAACAGGCATGTGCAAAAGCAAAAGACTGACATGTCTCAGCATTACCAACTGTGAAATGATGAAAATTGTGTACATCAATTCATCAGGATCAACTGTCATTCAAAATACTACTAATGCATCATACTAACTGATGTCTAAAGCTTCTCACCTGTAGTGTGTTACAGATTCAGTTTTGTTCCCTTGTATCCAAGCCTTGAGTAGATATTCATAAAAGCTGCATCCACAAAGACATTTTGCAAATTAATTGGCCAGCAATACCTACGGATATAAACCCTCCAAAAGTTACTGGGTAACATGTGCTTTCAATTTTGAGCCTTTTTTATATCCCTAGCTCGGAGGGTTACTCAAACCTTTCGTTCCTTGAAGGTCCAATTAATTAATAGTCAACTACATAGAGGGTCTCTACAAGTCTATATATTCTTTGATTTCCTTCCCCCCGTAAGATCAATATCACAACCAATGCGGTCTGCAAGTTTCACATCTAAGTAATACCCGATCCTATAGTTTACGATATAGATAGATATATATTTAACAACATTCTAAGAAAGGATCAGCAGAATACTTTAACCTAGTAATTTGTTTATAATTGAGAAACATGAAAAAAATTACAGAGATCATGACATGTGAAACTCATGACTGTCATGGTCTTCTACTATGAAGTGTTTAATAAACAATCCATAATTTGACTTCATATTTCAACTAGGCAATCAATCAAAAATTGATCGTTTTACCTTCATAACCTAAAACTTTCCTTCAACTTCTATCGACGTTGTTTAAAAATTATCTATAAATAATTATCCAATTTCAACTCATTACAGTTGAATCCCAATAATAGCACAAAAATTCAATCTAATTCACGAAATACAGTTTCAGGATCAAAGTTCAGGGAAGTAAGCACTAGCTTGAACTAGAGTCATAAACTGTGGTTCAACAGCCAATTCTTCTCAGAATCTACAAGGCCTCAATTAATAGTAGAATTGTTGAATCACACATATAAAGCCTGGCATAGCTAACCTGTGATTCCTCTCCTTTAACAGTAATTTTCAAATAAATAAAAAAATCATTTTTACCAAATATGGATAACAATGATTCCTAAGTTTCAATACCTATCACCCATGGCACCAAAGGAAATTTTTGAGTATGAGGTAATTCCAGTGTGAGGATCAATATATATGGGAAGCAATCCATCAGCAGGGAAGGTTTTATGAAGCTCTTCGATGACATATTCCACCTGAAATATCAGCATGCAAACAGTTATAGTGAGGAAAGGAAGCAAGGGGTTATTCTATCTATCATTTACAATGTTTGTGCATTCTAAAGAAATTAGCTTGAGATATGAGGATAAAAACAATAAGTCCATGGTAAGGATAATGCTATTCATCAAATAGGCAGGAATAAATCTACGTTCTGAGCTACATTGTGAAAGCATAAAGAGCACCTTCTGCTGGTACTTAGGATCATTTGTCCTCTGAGATAGAGCAATAAATTCAAGCTGCTCTGAACCAGCATCTGCCAGAATACTTTTTCCCTAGTAACAGGAAATATTTAAATAAACAAAAAGATAGTCTGATGATGTTAGAAAAAGATTCTTAACTGATGCCATTTAGATGCCTACTTCAACTTAGCAACATATAGTTACAACCCAGAAATTTAAACAGTAATTGGTGTGAATACAGACTTTACGACCTAGGTAACACCAAGCAGATGTATGGTTATTTAGAGATATTTTTTTAAGGACCTTTCCTATTGAGAGGGGCGATAGCATACTAAACTCACACACACTACACGGATGCTAGGACTCCAACCCAAGACCTTGCTTGAGGGAGTGAATACTCCAAACCACTACACTAGTAGATCCTTTGCGGTTATTTAGAGATTTAGTAGTTAATAGATCATGTAGCTCAAACTCGGAAGAAGACACCAAAGAGTATAGATTTGATAGATCATTTCTTCTCTTCAGGCATATATAAAATACAAAATTGAAAATTTACTTGAGCCATCTTTGATCTTGTAAATGATATTATTCAGTTACTAATAGTTTTAATTTTTTACGACAAGCAAACAATAAAAATGATACAAACGATTTGATGTTCAGCTTAAAAAATAAAAACAAAAAGGAGCAAGCAATGCCATAGATGGTCTGGGAAGAACAACCCAAGAATATCAATCAGCAAAGAAAGAAGTTTGGAACTTACCCCTGTCCACCGAGGGTTATGGGCATCCCCATATCTCAAGTTTATTATGTTATAGGGGATTCCTGAGGGTGTATTCCACGCAGGCAGCAACCTATCTGCAATATCTCTAGCCTTTTCAAGGAACACTTTGTCATCAGAGAGATCATATGCGCTAAGAAGTCCACCTATAACTCTACATTCCACAAAAGTAGCCACAAAAGAGTAAGTTACTGGAGATGACCAGGAGCAATGGACATGTAATACAATATTCTGGAACTTGTCCAAATGAGGTGGGACCCCTTCTCCCACATCCGAGAAAAGAAATAAGTAACTTGGTATTTATATAGATTAAATTAAACCTTCTAATGCAACCTTATGGTTGTCTCAAAAACACTAGCCTCGTAGTTCTTGTTGAAATTCAACGACTTTGCAACCCACCTGAAATTATTTATGATTATCAATATTAGCCACCTCAAAGTGAAACTACTTCAAGAATGGAAAAAGTAAAACATTAACCAGAATAATTAAAATAAATTCAGATATTACAGCTAAAACTATTTGAGAAAACTAACCTGTCAAGAAAACCATTTGCAAATTACAATTGTGTTTTCTCAATCTGAATGTGTATTTTTACAGTTATATACATGTTACGTGTCAGCCATATATATGGAGAAACTATGATCTGTGGGAGAGATAAATTAAAACAGTTAGAAACTCACTCTCTAGCTCTTTGGAATTGCTCGTCAAGACCCATTATGTACAATGTATCAAGAGAATCCACTAGAGTTGCTCCTAGACCGCCAAAACTATCAACACCATCTCTTGTTTGTGGCTGTTTAGAATGAGAGTTTAAGTTATTAGAGTTGCAGTATTCATTCGGCAACATGTTGTCCTCATTGTGGTGCATTTCAATTTTATGCAATGAAAGTTTGTTTATTATATAAAAAACAAAACTAGAGTAGTAGTATTCGAATCTACTAATAAGCAAAACCCTTAATAATGAAGCTATGTTACCAATGAAGTTATGTTACCGCATTTATTGACCAACGTATATGTTAGGAAATCTGTTACATGGAGCATTGATTGAGCATTAAAGCAGGAAGCATACCTGGAGTTCATCACGACCCCATGCATACATCTCGTAACAAGTCCAGGCATGAATCATAGCCTCTTTAACTGCTCTTCTTCGTTCAACATTGAGAGGATCATCCTCCTCCTCAACAATGCTCCAACTTCTTATCTGCTTCTTCACATTCTCTAGCTACAATTTACCATTTTTCATCAATCATCTCCCTAAAAAAATTCTCAATTCCAATTAATTCCACCACACTCTAATCTAATTAACTCATCTTTACCTGATTCTTCAAAGTTATCAGTTCCTTATTCAACCTCGAAACCACTAACTATTCAAATAACAACGCCAGACATCACACATTTTCCAATTTCCTAAAATTATTTGGTAATTTCATCCAATTATTTTGGAATATTGATACAAATAGCTGAATATATAGCATGAGCATGGTGCATGCATAATTACATAAATGATTCAAAAAAGAAAAAGAAAAAACCTGGTGCTCTACACTGAGAGATTCGAGGCCAGAGAGCAGCCATGTGAGAGCAACGAAGGAGATAATGAAGAGTGCCAACAGCTGCGGCCTCCTCAGGTTATGCTGCGGGTGAAGATATCTCCACCCTCCCCACCACCACGATTGCGATGAAGAAGATAACGATTTTTTTCCCATTTTTGGGTTTATTTTTATTTGTTGAGAAAAAAAATAAAAATTAAAAGAAAAATGAGTGAGATTTGAGGTAGAAACGAGAATGAAAGCTTTTTGCTTTTGGAGCTTTGATTGGCTGCCAAAATGGAAATGGAAAGTCGTTGGTTTGATTTTGAACTTGGAAGAATGGTGCCGTACTGAATGGGACGGAGGGAGTCTACGTGGATTGGGCTGGAAACTTTTGGGCCTTACCAAACTTTGAACTTGGTTCCTAGCCCATATTTAAAAACTTTTTCACTATTTAGTGCTACACGGGAGGGAATTCGAACTTTAGTGCAATGGAGCGGGTTTATTGTCCAGACAGATGATATTGAGGGACAGGTGAATACTCTTTAATCCCTTGAACTATATATGCTTCGTTTTGTTCCAGACATATTTTAAATCATTACTTGCAATGTATTTCAACATTTTGAATCTTAGGGATTATCAGTGTTGGTTCATTTTCTTGGAGAAACAGTCAGTTTATTGCAACCATTCAAAATTTAAAAAAGTGAGATTAACTAATGCACTTAGCCAACTACCCTCTGATATGCCAGTCAAGACTTCAAATTTCCGTAACCTCATTGTCCAAGTCGTGCAACAGAGAGGCAGGCCAAAGAGAGCCACTCAAAACACCACAAAACCATCAATCTAGCATTTGACATATAGTACAGTACAATGAACTTGTTTCCACCCATCTACATCTAGCCCTCATCTGAATGAGGAAACTTGCGCTTTAAGATCTCATTCTCCTTCCTCAGCTTCATAATCTTGGTCTTAAGTGTTTCAACCTGCCAAATCGAATTCGAATCTCGTTGCTGCTCAACAAGCTTTGATCTGCTAACCAGCACTGAGTGTAGCACCGAACAAATCATTACCATGTATTAGTTTTTGGCAGCCAAAACAACCACCAAGAAATGACATGTAAAATAATTTGAATAGCAAGAGAAACTGAAAGCAACCTCACACTCACATTCCTTTTGTAAGTCCTGGAGTTTTTTACTCAACTCATTTTTCTCCTCCTGTTCAATTGCAAGACAGTCCTTTAAATCCTGAATCTCCAGAATATCTGCAAAGGAACAATTATCCAATTGATCAACATGAACATGCTGTACCTGGTAGGTACTTGCTAACAGAGATAAAAGCGAAAGGAGTTCATTGGGACCTCACATTTTGATTCCACATCTAACTGCACATGATCCAACCTGCTCGCTAGAACATGCAGATGGGATTTATGAGCTGCTAAATCCCGTTGAAGGTGATCAATGGTTGCTTCATTTGTCGCCTTCTCAAGCATAAACCCTCTGATATAAGCAAACAGTTTTAACATTTTACGCAGAGTAAATTTCTTTCGCTACACATTCTAAGTTCGTCAAACTGTGGATTGAAATTACACTTTTAAACACGGTTTCATCTATATTCAATGATTTAAATTGACAATCTAACAATGTAACATACCTGCTACAAAGACTACTCTTAATACATGTAGATCAAAACCATATATTTAGACAAGATTTCATCTTGACAGTCAGATAACATCGCATACTTGCTATAAAAAAGATAGCAAAAGAAGCTTTCTTATATCCTTTAACATGTGCAACTTTAGCCAAAATTTGATACTCAAATGGTTAACTGAAAATGTTAAAAAACTATATTTTGGTATTCACTGAAAAACTCACCTAATTTGAGCCTCCAAGTCATCAACCTTGGCAGCACAGTTTTTCTTAGCCAATTCCATGGCCTTCCTATGCTCTTCTTCTTTACTGAGGCACTCCTCCCTCATCCTCTTCACCTCTTCTTTCAAGCCCCGGCTTGAGCTACGGCGTTCAAGCTGATCGGCAACATTGTTCAAACACTCGGTGTACAATCTGGTCAATCGCTCATTTTCTGCAACATTATCAAATCAAATAAACGCTTTCCAATTCAGTAATCTGAAACACTGAACTCAAAAACGCTGCGTTTAATTATCAAGAAGAAATGACCGGCCTTGCTTGAGATTGTTGCAGGTGAATTCCAGAGCTTCTCGCTTCTTGGCCTCGGCATTACACGTGGACTTCACCGACTGGATCTCCGCCACGCCGCTATTGAAATCCTGAGAATTCTGAGTTCGAATTAAGAAAAAGAAAAAGAAAATCATCGATCGGTTTGTTTGGCTGCCGAGAAAAGCTCCTTTTCTCTTCTTCTTCTTTTTCTCCGTGGTTTTCTAGGCAGCCAAACGGAATCGGAATATAGGATAGTCAGGACGGAAGGAGGAAGAGGAAGATTTGTACCTACCTGGTAGATTTGATCCAAAGTGGAAAGCAGAGAATCCATTTCTTCGTCACTGGTTGCCGCCATTTTCTCTCCTTTTCCAATTGCTGCACTTCAGCGCCTTTCTATTTCTTTCTATTTTTTGTTTTTGTTTTTTGTTTTTTGTTTTTAATGTTTGGATATGGTCTGGGTTGGGTTGGGTTGGATTGGATTGGGTTGAGTTTGAATAAAATTAGTGGAGGAAATTTCATGTAAATATAAAATTAAAATTAAAATAAATGAAAGAAAATACACTGTTTATGAGAAAAATTTATCTAAATATCAATGGTTAGTTAAAATTTATACAAGATGTTTGTAGTTCAAATGGTTAGCAGCAATTAAGTCACTCCATGTAATGTTCGAATTTCTCTTTTAACAATATCACTTGTATATAAAAACAAAAACATGAATAGTTATGCTATCAACCATTATTTCCTTTTAGATAAGAAAAAGAAAACGGCCTTTTGAGAAACATTAAGGGAATGAGCGGCCATACTTGCGAGTATAAATGAGGTACACTTGGCATATTGGTTTAGGGTTTAGGATTTGGGAACTCAAGAGAAACTAGGAGACCGTACTAGGAGAATCTGAACGATAAGGAATTACTGCCCAAACTAAGAATGAAGGGGACAAGAACTCAGCCCAACATGAAAAAATATACATAATTTCTAGGAAGCAATTGGTGGCCAAAAGAGATAAGAAGGGAAGGAATGTTTCAATGTATATCCCAACAAAAAATTGGAACCAAACAAAATTAACGTTTCAACGTAGCCAAGTGTAGCAAAAAATACACAAAAACTAACAACGAAATTGTGCACACATGGACAACCACGGCAATCCCGCGGTCACTAAACACTAAACCCTATTTCTTCCATTTCCAAGTGCCAATTTTATTTTCATGAGCTTGGTCACCACATCCTTGAAGTCCATTCTTTCCTCTGGCACTTGTTCACAACACCTCAAGCTTATTTCCATGATGGACAAAATGATATTTTTTGTGGCATTTACGTCTCTGCCCTCTTCTATGCTCAATAAACCAGCATCCACTACTTCTAAACAATTGTTGGGGAGTGACTCATTTATCCATTGTCTCAAAGTCTGTTCTCCGGCAAACATTTCATCTGTGGGTTTCTTTCTCGTGATTATTTCCAACATCATTATCCCATAGCTATAAACATCACCTTTTGTAGACACTTTTCCTGTAGAACCATATTCTGTGGACACACATCAATTGTAAAACAATTTAGAATGTTAGTATCAGTCTCACGCGGGATGTGACACAATCTCAGTTGTTGACGATTATTATGGGCTCCACAATCGATGAGTGTGGATCCCATTGTTTCATGAACATCAACAGTGGAAATTGTGTCATGAGCAATAGATATGCTAGCATTCCCTATCAATTAATCTAAGACGAGAGATCAATAATTCACCATCAAATTTCAGATTTGCATAAGTTAAGGACAATTAGTTAATCTTAGTAACTAAAATACATAAATTACTTGCTTTACCTGGTGCAACGTAGCCAAGTGTACCAATTGTTCTGGTTTGTGTTTCGTCTTTATTTTTTGCCAAGATTTTTGCAAGACCAAAGTCTCCCACATGTGCAACCATGTCTTCATCGAGAAGGATATTGCTAGGCTTCAAATCACAGTGCACCACAACTTCTGCTTGGCCATGGTGAAGATATTCCAGAGCTAAGGCAATATCAACCATCATGCTCACTCTTTGTACAAGATTCAGACAATAGTTGTGAGAGTATAACCACTTCTCAAGGCTGCCATTACACATGTATTGCAGCACCAAAGCTCTTACCTCATGGCTCGAGCATGAAGTTATGACCTTGACAAGATTTCTGTGCCGGATTGTTCTCCACACCTTACATTCTGCATCGAAACTTTTTAAGGCACCCTCCATTTGCAAGTTTAGAACTTTCACAGCAACTGTTGTTCCATTAGACAGTATCCCCTTGTACACAGAACCAAAACTTCCTACTCCGAGTGCGTTGCTTTCGCAGAAATCGTTTGTAGCACGTCGAAGTTCTTGATATGATATCATTCTATGCTCTATCGCCGATAACGTGGGTTCAACTGAGCTTGGAAGGCCTGCATTTCTTTTTTTATGGTACTTTATCAACCTATAAACGAGAGCTGCAAGGATCATCGTGGAGGCAATGGCTGGAAGAATATACTTGAACAAATGAAGTGCTGCCTTAGAATTTTGAGTGCTTTGCGGGGTGCAATTTCGGACACCAAAATCTGGTCTCCCACAAAGTTCTCCATTCTCCAAAAATGATTGGGCAGTGAAGTTGGCAAAAGGTCCGCCAGAAGGAATCTGTCCTGACAGATGATTGAAAGAGAAATTCAAATGCTCAAGATATTTGAGTGTTTCCAGAGACTTTGGTATTGTGCCAGATAAACTGTTGTGTGATAGGTCCAAATCTTCCAACCCTTTCAGATCACCAAAAGTTTTTGGAACGTTTCCTACAAACAGGTTGTTTGACAAATTGAGAGAGCGTAGGCTTTGAAAAGCTCCAATGACGCTTGGAATGTTTCCAGCAATTTGGTTCCAAGATAAATCTATCACTTGAACAGCATTCAACTCTCTCATTCCTTGAGGTAAGTCGCCATTAAAAGAATTGAATGACAAATTTAAGACCAACAGACTTTCAAGGTTCCACAAGCTCATGGGTATCGATGATGTCAAGCTGTTGAAGTCTAGGAGAACCAGTGTTTTCAAAGGCATGCTTTAGCGCGCTTCGGAGCGCGCGTCGGAGCGAGGCGGAGGGAAATCGCCTTAGGCGTATGGTTGTTTAGCTTGTTGTCCGCTTAGCGTGGCAAGGCGTGGTGAGGCGTCGCAAGGCGTGCGAGGCGAGGCGTGGAAGGCGCAAAGAAGCGCCGCTGACTGCAACCCAAAGCGTGAGGAAGAAGACGACCTGCCTTGAATTTTTTTTGTTAGGGTTAGTTTTAAAGAAACGACGTCGTTGCATCTAGTTAAGTGTTTTTTATTTATTTAAAAAAACTGAGGTGACTAAACGCACGTTTCATCTAGTTTTTAAAAACACACGCTATTTTTTAAACAAACAGCATGCCTTAAAAGGCCCCACTGAAACAAACGATACTACTTCCTTTTTTCTTCTAAATAAATACATTAATTTTAATGCGATAATCTCCATCAATTTTAATTCTCTCCATAAGTTGAAGCGTCTCTCTCCTTCAGTATGCAATTCTCTTTGTACAAGATTCATATATATATATATATATTTTTTTTTTTTTTTTTTTTTCCAAACACCACAATAACAAACTAAAAATAACACTCAAGTCCACACAAATGCCGAAAATCATAGGATTTTATGTTTCGTGATAATGAGTGAGATGCACGAATTGAGTTTTACTTTTGATGTTGAATAAGCATTTTATGTTTTGAGATGATTATTATGCTTGAATGACATTTAGTACTTATATTTTTTTATAGAATATTCTGGCTCAATAAGAATTAGTAATACAATTTATCTGTATTATTATTTATAATTTTTGTTATTAAAATAAATTAATGTTCGAAAGGCTTACGCCTCAATGCTTCAAGGCTTACGCCTCGCATAGCGGACTAAAAACGCATCGCCTCTACGCCTCGCCTTTTAAAACATTGAGGAGAACTATTTGAAGGCGCCTGAGGTTTCCTACGCAATTTGGGATCAATCCAGAGATTTTGTTATTTGATAGCAATATTTCCCCTAGGTTCTTCAGGTGACAAAGCTCATTTGGAACGAACCCTTCAATACTATTGTTTTGAAGATACAATCTTTGCAAAGATTCCAATCCTCTAATTGATGATGGTATTTTTCCACTCAGATTGTTGTAAGCTAAGTAAAGGAAGGTCAAGCTCCTCAAGGAACCAATGCTCTTGGGTATATGGCCTCTAATTTGGCATGCAGGTGTATAAATTACCTGGAGGGACTGAGAGAAGTTTCCAATGGAATCGGGTATGATGCCATTTAGAGGATTTTCATACAAAATTATATATTCCAGTGAACTAGAATTAAACAAAGAAGAAAGGAATCTAAGCTCATCGAACCCGGGTTCTCCCGTTAGCTGATTTCTTGCCAAATTAAGGAATTGGAGATGTTTCAAGCTACCAAGATTCATGGGTATTGGTCCATAGAGCAAGTTGTTGTCAGCATCAAGCTCAGTGAGCTTAGTAAAATTTGAAAAATAAGTTGGGATAGGTCCTGTAATTTGATTGGTATGAAAAAGTAAGGAAGTGAGGTTAGGAAGAAAAACTGCAGAGGAAGGAAATTCTCCAGAAAGAGCATTGGATTGCATTTCTAAACTTTCCAAGGAGGAGATGTTGAAGATTACTTGAGGTATTGGACCTGTTAGGCTATTAAACGCCAAGCCCAAAAAAGCTAGATTAGAAAGATGTCCCAAATTGCCTGGAATATTTCCCTCAATGTTATTGCGTCCCACAGCAAAACTCTTCAAGTTGGACATGTTTCCAATTGAAGGAGATATAGTACCTGTCAGCTTATTACCACCAAGGTATAGGATTTGAAGATGTTGCAAGCTCCAAACTTCTTCTGGGATGCTTCCAACAAAGCTATTGTATGACAGAGATAAGATCTCAAGCTCGCTGCATTGACCAATTCTAGAAGGGATCTTGCCACTGAACTTGTTGAAAGAGAATGAAATGGATTGGATATTTGGCCAAAAATGGCAAAGGTCCACAGGAAGACTTCCTGAGATGCTGTTCTTAGGTAGAGAAATCATTTCTAGAGAAGTTAGGTTAAGGAGAGCAGAAGAGAATGAACCTGTGAGGCTGCTCTCTTGCAAGTTCAATTCTTCCAATGTTGAAATGTTACCGAAGGATGAAGGAATTGTACCAACCGTGAAATTATTCAGGCCGAGGTATAACCTACGGAGTCTAGGTAGGAAACCCAACTCCCTAGGTATAGGACCTGTTAGCCTGTTCACTTCAAGGACTAGGACTTCGAGCTTCTGGCAATGGTACAAAGTGGGAGGGATGCTTCCTTGCAGCTGGTTGTTATGCAATAAAAGTGACCTCAGGCGATGTAAACGGCTGATTTCATTAGGCAAGGGCCCAAAGAAGCTGTTGTTTTGAAGATGGAGCGAGACGAGGAAGGAGAGGTTGCCAATATGAGGGGAAATGGTGCCTTGGAGAGCCATATAGGAAAGCTTTAAGGCTGTGACTCTTTGCCTGCGTTTGCTACAAAAGACCCCAACCCAATTACAGAAGCTTGTATTGGTAGTCCAGTTACCACCCAAAACAATATTGGTGGGGTCAAAACTGAGTTTAGATTGGATGGCAAGGAGGGCAGATTGATCTGTGAAGTTGGAAGTTGATGAAGATATGGCAGACTGAAGGAAGCATGAGTAGTGCAATAATACAACTCCAAAAAGAAAGAGAATTTTTGTGCATTTCATCGTGAACATGATGGGCAGTTTGGATGTAATATTAAGGTAAAGGCTCAAGTTTGGTTTGACAGTGCTGCAAATATGCGTGTGTGAATTTGCATGATCGGCCATCCCGTTTATATAATAGTAGTGACAAGATAGCCATTTTCCTGGAGCTTTGACTTCAACAATTGACCCTTGTTTTCTTGTACTTCCATCAGCATGAAGAATTAATGAGTGGGACCATATAACTTACTAATAACTTCTTTTTCTTTTTTCTTTTTGGTTAATTGGGTCAAATTTGGGAAGGGGAGAGGAGGGGCCATTGGAGTTTAGAACATGAGACAACTCATTTGCACGCAAATGCTTTTATAATTGAGCTATTGACTTGTTGGCAACTTATTAATAGCTAAATTAGTAAGCATATATAGATATACATGCATGGTTTTTTTAGTACAAGTAATACTCTAAACTATAGAGGAAGGAGGTGTTTTTCTCACATACACTACCACGGTGTTATGAGGTTTCGAACTTAAGATTACTAGTCTGTAAATCAAAATCATTTTCCACTGGACTAGACTCTATTGACCATATATGCATGTGTTTAATCTCTAATCAATTTCTAATAATCATTAATATTCTCATTAAAATATCGACAAACAGTCTCAAACAACCCTTAATTAGATCCAATGTCATGCATAAATCATCATGAAATGGTGAATTTGGATCCACTCTTTTTTTTTTTCTCTCATGTTTATCGAACATAATCACATTGTGTCGTCTATTTTCACAAACTTGTCATATTTCATTAACGTGGGAAACAAAGAAATTCTCCACATTGTGTTTCCATTGTCCATGTGTAGGGCAGTCGTCTCTTGGGGTCTGAGGGCCAAAGGGTCAGCCCTCTTAAGTCCCATCAAGGTGCTAGTGATCTTTGAAGACCAGAAAATTTATAGTCCTTGTCTATAGGTCAGCCGAGAAAATTGGAAAATTTGTTTGGTAAAGATGTCTCGCAATCTAAGCTGCAATGTAAACATGAGAGGGAATTTGTGTGATGGAATGGAAGTCTCTCTCTTAAATCAAGAAAGTCAAGAAAATTTATAGTCCTTGTCTATAGGTCAGCAGATTGAATATTCAACTTCCTTGACTTGTCTTGAAGCAATTTGTGTGATGGAATGGAAGTCTCTCTCTTAAATCAACTTCCAATGAAATGACAGAAAGCGGAAATTTGTGAAAAATTTCGTTGCTTGTTGATAAATTTGTGGAAACTATTGATTTAGATAATCACATTTCAGCACTACTCAAGTACTAATAATTAATAACTCAACGAGACGAGTATATTTTTATGAGCAAGTGGACAAGTACAATATGGAAGCAAAAAAATTCTTCTTGGTTTTTAGACTATAGGTTTTAGTATCTTCAAAGAGCCTCTCTATCTTGGCTCCTTAGCTAATTGGAGAGGATTGTGAGAAATGCATACTCCAACAGCCTTTTAAGGGCTCTTCATTTTATTTTTAATCTTTCATATAATGTATTGGGCGATGGGATAATATACGACTTCGAATGCATGAGTGAATACTCTTACCCGCTTTACTAAAGAGAATCCATTTTAAAACCTTACTTTTCAGCTTTTTAAGTTTGAGGAGAGACTTAAAATATTTCATTTGCTCTCTACACTTTCTTGGAAAACTGTGTTGAAAGTATAAAACACGACACAATTGCAAGTGAGATATTCAAAGATTTTTTTGAGTCTTCGTAAATTGCTTGACATGGACTGAGCTTGTAGTGTATATAAAGATCGATCCACCACGTACTCAACAAGTTTTGGCTCCATTTCACATTCACAGTCCTTGTTTGATAAAGACCTATCACAAATCTAATTCCATCTCTCTCGACCAACCTGAGATTCCCCAGATATTTATTTCCAACGTTTTCCGTTCTAATTAAGTTCAAAACAAGGCAACCTTTATGATTCACACATGTATCAATGGCCAGAATTGCGGATGCGGTCAAGTACTAATTGACAATCAATACAGTGCTAATTCCTCGTTTGGGACTATCCCACAATATCATTTTATTATCTAAATCTTTTAAATTTTAGGTCATTATTTCAAGATCACCCTTGCAAAAGTTTAGCCAAATCGAAATTATTTAACCATTTGATTATTATCATTAATATTTTCATTGTTTTTAGAAAGTATTATGTTGGTCTATATATTTTCTTATAACTAGAGATGACTAAGTGTTGTCTAATTTGATTATTATTATTTTTTTATCAGGGTGATCTTTGAATGATGACCTAATTATAATAAAGAACGGTTGAAATCATAAGATGATATGGTGAAGTAGGCCCAAATGATTAGTTAGCTGAGCACCATATTAACTTCCTAAACCGGTTGCACTTGAGCTCCTGCCCAAGCAAATATACCGAATACTCTAGAAAAATCAACTATGCCAAACAAAATGTTTTTATAAAAACTAATACCTCGTGTTTTGGAAACAAAAATACATATATATCATGGGACTTAATTGAATATACCTAAATCATATGAGTCAAGGTTGTTCACATACTGTGGTGGTGGTGGTAGAAAACGTGGAGTTGAGGGAGGGTAGGGGATAATATAGGTTCGCAGATATTAAAGCGAGATTAAGATAAATAATTATACATAGGATCGTAGATAATTAATCAAAGAGCACAAGAAAATGGAAGGAAAGTCTTTTCCACTCAATCGAAGGACCATTTTCAATGAGAATATTGTACAACACTGTCTTGAAAACGATAAAATTGGCACATTGTTGCATATGGCAAGGGGGAAAACATGACTAAATCTGAAATTAGAAAAGAAAAGATGTATAGGGGAACTTATCAGATTGGGTAAAAAATAATACTTCATTCATCTTGATATATAATAATAGGAAGGTTATATATACAGAGCCTAGGAAACTATTCTAGGAAAGTAATTATGTTCCTATAATATTGCAGAATCAAATAGTTGACTTAGACTAATTAGGAATGTACAGCTCATTGACACTCCCCCTCAAGTTGGAGCATATATGTCGTCAATGCCCAACTTGCTACGTGAGTTGTGAAATACCCTGCTTGTGACTGCTTTGGTGAGGATATCTGCAAGTTGATCTTTGGATTTAACAAATGATACCTTAATGATCTTCGCCTTGAGCTTCTCCTTGATGAAATGTCTGTCAACTTCAACATGCTTGGTTCTTTCATGTTGCACTAGATTATGTGCAATGTTTATTGCAACTTTGTTGTCACAATTCAGTTGCATGACATGTTTAGGTTTGAACCCCAATTCCCCCAACAAATTCCTTATCCTGAGTAGCTCACATACTCCGTGTGCCATACTTCAATATTGTGCTTCAGCACTTAATCTTGACACTACTTTCTGTTTTTTACTTCACCAAGATACTAGATTGCCTCCCACAAAGGTAAAGTATCCAGATGTAGATCGCCTGTCAGTAACAGAGCCCGCCCAGTTTGCATCAGTGTGACCCTCAACATCTATATGACCATGTCGTGCGAACATCAATCCTCTTCCAGGAGATGACTTCAAGTATCTCAGAATTCGGTTTACCGCATCCATGTGGGCTTCACTTGGTGCATGCATGAACTGACTCACCACAGTTACGGCATATGCTATATCAGGTGTCCTAGATAGATTAACTTACCCACAAGGCGTTGATATCTTTCTTTGTTGGTGGGTACCTGATCAGGATATTCACCAAGTTGATGATTCAACTCCATTTGCGTATCTACTGGTTTGCTGGCTAACATTCCAGTGTCAGTCAAAATGTCAAGGATATATTTCCATTGTGATAGAAATATTCCTTGTTCTAAACGAGCCACTTCGATGCTTAGGAAATACTTCAGAGCACCAAGATCTTTCATTTCAAACTCACTTGCCAAGTGGTGCTGCAATGCTGCCTTTTCCATTGGGTCATTCCCGGTAACTACTATGTCATCAACATATGTTTCAAGAAAAGAATATGATATGAGTTACTTTGCTTGTATCCAAAATCCTTCATTGATTTGCTGAACTTTCCAAACCATGCTCTGGGTGACTACATCAATCCATAAAGAGACTTTCTCAGTTTACACACTCATGTTGCTAGTATTGGGCCCCATCTTGCATCTTAGAAGGGAATCCATATAGACTTATTCTTCTAGGTCGCTGTGCTGGAAGGCATTTTTGACATCAAACTAGTGTAATGGCCAGTTTAGGTTTGCTGCCAGAGAAAAAAGTACCCAAATTGTATTTATCTTGGCTATAGGGGCTAAGGTCTCCTCATAGTCAATCCCATAAGTCTGAGTATAACCTTTCGCCACCGATCTTTCTTTGTATCATTCAATGGTGCCATCTGCCTTGAACTTTACTGTATATATCTATCTACAACCCAATGTTCTCTTCCATTTATGAAGGATAGTCATCTCCCAAGTGGAATTCTTCTGGAGGGCCTCCATTTCATCATTCATCGCTTGAGTCCACTTGGGATCTTTCAGAGCTTCCCGCACATTACTTGAAATAGATACAATGGATAATTGACATACAAATGATGCACATGACGAAGACAACCTATGTAAGGGCACATGATTAGCAATAGGGTATTTAACTTTTGTTTTTAAGTCCGGGTCATACTGTTGTCTAGGAATCTCTCTAATGGTACGAATAGGTAACTGATAACTTGTGTTTCCTGTATGACTCGACTCAGGTAAAATGCTTAAGTTGGAGTTTAAATGTTCAGTTATCTTAGGGAAATCTTCATGACCTGATTGGATGATTGGTGATGAGACTATAGTAGGAGAGAAATTATCTAAACCATTATCTGGAGTTTCCAGTAACTCTTGATCATGTTGCACTACTGTAGCTGGTTGCTTGGACATTTACTACTCTAAAACATTTTGTTGAATTTGGATGCTCAGAGCTGAGTATCTTTTGCAAAGCTAGAGCTCTCCCCCTACATAGGATGCTCAAGAACTCCCCCTGAGTAATAGAACTCACTCTCGTGGAAAGTCACATCTGCATAACATGTATGGTCTGAGTGGAATGATGGAAACACTTATAGTCCTTATGAGTGTTAGCATAACCCACAAAGACACAACATAGTACACACAGATCAAGCTTGCCACACTAATGTAGATACACCTGAACATAAGCAACACAACCAAAGAGACGTGGTTCGAGATTTGGTGTGGATGGCATGGTGAGGAGAGTGGTCAATGTCTGAAATGAAGTTTGATACTGAAGAGTGTTGGATAGTGTTCTATTAATGAGGTAAGCAGCAGAACAAAGAGCCTCCCTAAAAAATGATGAGGCATACGAGCCTCAAATAAAGAGGCACGAACAACCTCCAAGAGATGACGATTCTTACGCTCTGTGACGCCATTTCTGTTGTGGTGTATAGGCACATGTGGTTTGATGAACAATTCCATGTTGACTTAAAAAATTATGTAGGTCATGGTTGACGTACTCTCCTCCATTATCAAACCGAAGTGTAGTGATTTTTTTTGTCAAACTGAGTAGCAACATATTGATAAAATAACTTGAATTTGGCGGTGACTTCACTTTTCTGCTTTAGGGGAAAAACCCGGGGCATCCTGGTGCAATTATCAATAAAAGTCATAAACCACTTAAAACCGCTAATAGTGGAAACTCGTGATGGTCCCCAAACATCAGAATGGACAATCATAAAAGGCAGAGAACTTTTCTTCAATCTTAATGAGTAAGAAATACAATTGCTTTTGGCCAAAATGCAAGTTTCACAATGAAAGTCTGATTCAGCAAACTGGGAAAACAAATCTGGAAATAAAAGTTTCAGATAACCAAAAGAAGCATGCCCTAACCGTATATGCCATAACTAAATTTTCTTCATCCTGATAGACTCATCTCCTCTCACATGATGTGCCTGACTCAATCTCGTACTGCTGTCTTATGTCAAGTCCAGATAATACAACTTTCCCCTCCTAGTACCACATCCAATCATGGCCATAGTGAGAAGATCCTGAAAGAGACAATACAATGGCCAAAAACACACAGTATAATTAAGGGAATCAATGATTTGAGGAACAGATAACAAGTCATAATCGAGTGAAGAGACAACTAAGACATGATCAAGACTTATTGAGGATATAAGAGATAAAGACCCTTCTCCCATAACTTGGGAGGTAGTTCTATTGACACTGGTAATATGTGTTTGGCTTTATGGTTTGGTAGAGTACAACCCAGTAAAACTATATGTCATGTGATCAGTAACTCTAGTGTCAATAATTTATGATCTATTACAAGTAAGTGAAGATGTGCAAGAGGTACCTGAGACGGCCAAGGCCTTGGAGCCAGATGTACCTGATGGAGGTTCTGATGCAGTCTCCTCGAATGACTGAGCGGATTTAAATGAGGCTCTGGTCGAATCCTTTTTGCGCCCTTTGTGGGCCCATCCTTCTGGATAACCAATGATCTCATAACAACCCTTAATTGTGTGGTTATCTAAACCACATTTGGTACACTTCATTGGAGGCCGGTTACGAGTAAGGCCGTCACTATAGTTGTTCGGCCGAGATTGTTTGGACCTCGCAGCATCCAAGGCTGTGGCTTCGGAGGTTACACTAGCTTCAGACATGGTTCCCTATCGATTACTCTTTCTCTTAATATGTGCATATGCTGCCTCAAGTTCGGGCTTTGGCTCCTTTAGCAAAATCTCTCCTCATATTTGATCGAAATTATTGTCCAAACCTGCAAGAAATATATAAACTCGGAGATGATCAACCTCTTTGCGTCTAGTCTCGATGTATTTCGGATGCTTCATGGTGCTTGGACTTAATTGATCAAGCTCCTGAAAAATCTCAGTGAGCTCACTGTAATATTTGGCAACTGATGCGCCAGCTTGCTTCATTATGAATGACCGTCTGTGAAGGTCATAAATATTGGCTTCATCACCACCATCTGAATAGGTTTGCTTGATTGCAGCCCAGACTTGCTTTGCTGTGTCATAACAAATAAATCATTTAATCTGATTAGGTTGCATGGCGTCGAACAACCAATTCTTGACTTGGCAATCCGATGCATGTCATTTATTAAATGTGGGATCTATGTTTGCAGGCTGGGCAATATCACCGGTCAAGTGGGCATGTTTTTCTCGCCCAGCTATCTTCATCTCTATGATTTGATGCCGTAGAGAATAATTATTCTCATCCAGTTTGATTCCTACGGAGAAGTTGGAGGTGTCACTCTGCAAAGTGATGATTCGTGTGATAGTTCTGGAGCCTCTCAACACCAAGGATTGATTGGTGTTTACTGACCCATCATTGTTAGCCATGATATTAGCTAACAAACAATGAGAAAAAAAAAGGGCAAAAAGAAATCTGTCTGGGGGAAACATTACTCTGGGTAACTGATGAGAAAATGACAAAAAAGAAATATCAAGTTGAGGAAAAACAAGTGAACGGTGGACAAAGGCAATAAGACAAACTGTTTTGCAATAAGAAATATTGGGTTGAAAGAAAAAAAAACAGAACAAAAGGAACGGTTTGAATGGGTCTATGAGTGGAAAGTGATTTGCAATATTGCAAAACGTGATTTGACTAGAGGAAAGGTTTGAATGGGTTTGTGAGATGGAATATGGGTGGTGCTGGTGCTGGTGCTAGTGCTGGTTTTGTGAGATGGAATATTGCTTTTAGTGCTGGTGCTGCGTATCTAAATGGAATATTGCAAAACAGTGATTTGAGATGGAATATGGGCTGGTGCTGGGTTTGTATGATGACTGTTGCTGCGGAAGTGATTGCTAGGGTTAGGGCGAGAGACAGTCAAGATTGACAGCTCTGATACCATATCAGATTGAGTAAAAAATAATACTTCATTCATCTTGATATATAACAATAGGAAGGTTATAAATACATAGCCTAGGAAACTATTTTAGGAAAGTAATTATGTTCCAATAATCTTGCATAATCAAATAGTTGACTTAGACTAATTAGGAATGTACAGTTCATTGACAGAACTGCAACCTTTTATACATCTCCATATTTTCGTTAAGTATATGCATTACTCTTGATATTAACTGGTCTTGTGTAGTACGTCTATGTTTTTTTATATATAAATATTAATGAACATTTATCGTGCATAAGATTTGAACTTAGGACATCTTCGAACAAAGTAGAAATTGAGTGCCACCAGACTACATGATCATTGTCTTATAATATGCTTATCGTTCTAATTTTAAATCGAACTCTTGCAAGTATAGTAAGGATTTCGGTATTAAAGTTAAAATTGTTGATTATTGTGGAGGAAAAGGCTGTGGAACCATCAATCTTTCTTAGAAGAGTTTTAGATTGCTTGCTGATCCCAAGGCTGGGAGAATTAAGATTAAGTATCATCCATCAGACCTTTAAACAGATTGAATTGGTTTATATCCAAATATATTTAGATTCATGTTATCAGATTATGATCCGAATTCGATCATCAGAAACTTATTAGTCCTAGAGAAGATTAAAAACATAATTCCATTTGTTATATTTAATGACTGTTGATTTTGAACCACCATAGTAAGTGAAATAGTTTTAAGTATATACTCTACAAGTGAATATATTATCTTAAGTTTGATTGGATCTAATAGCTCTAGTCTATATTTGTTTTGTTAAGTTAATGAATTATAAACAGTACCATTCAAGGAAGTTCTGGTCATCCACCCTTAGATTAGATCTAAGGGTTGATAAAAAAAAACTAATTTAAAAATTCAAATACGATTATTTTATTTTATTTTATTTTTACTGCATAATCTAATAGTTTCTCTTTTTTTTTCTTTTTTTTTATAAAAAAAACAGTGTTCTCAGTTGCAACCATCACTGCCCATATCCTCCTCCAACTCCACTGTTGTGGCTTTTTGAAAAAAAATTCTCTCTTCTTTTTATCTCTCACTGATTGTCAAAGAAAAAAGAGGCAACTTGGGTGTTATGAGTTTTCTTCTTCCTCTTCACCTTTGCATTCAATTTTTTAATTTGAAGCCCTAGTTCTGAATGATTAATGTGAATCCATATATTTGGGAAAAATTCAAATTTAAAAAATAAAAATAAAAATTGGGCTCTTTTCAGATTTTTGGTTCCTACTATTGTTTTTCCTTTTCTTGTTAGTATGCACTTTCCATGATTGGTAAAACCAAATTATTCTTAAGATTATGCAGTTATATGGTTGTTTTTCATTGAGAACATGTCAAGAAATATCACTCTCCGATGGGTAAAATAGGCCTGTAAAAATGCCCCAAGTTTGAGCCCAGCTTTATTTTTGGGCAATGGGTTGGTTCGACCCGTTATTAAGGGCGGTCCCGGCCCGTTATGTAAAGAGTGGACATGTGCTTTAAACTTTATTCCATGAGAAGCCGAGCCCTGCCCGGTAATTAAGTTAATAAATCATATATTTATAAAATAAGCTAATATTAATTACTCTTTCATTTAATTAAAATATTTTTTTAATACAAGTAATAATAATCTAAACTAAGGGGGTTTGAATCTGAAATCGATAGTCTATAAGTCAAGACCCTTAGGTAAGAGAAACACTTATGTGCAACGGGGATATCATTGTTTTGCTATTCCCAGGCAATTACATTATGCCACGCGTGATAACTTTTCCACTTTGCATAGCGTGATTGGTTGTAGATAGCTAAACAGTGTTATCTTCATTTCATTTAAATTTTTCTACCTGGGTAGGATCTGAGCTTAGCCTATTTAAGATAAGGTGGGTCTGGCCCAACCTGTTAAACCCTTTGGGCCAAAAAAATCCCACAACTGGGTAAGGCTTGGGCTAACTCCTCTCAGGCCAGGGCTGGCCCAGCTCAACCAATTTCACAGCCCTAGTTTAGTTTATAGTTTATAAATTACACCCCAAAGATGTGTAGAAAAAAATAAGCTTTTGGTACAAATCTACAATAACTAATATCAGTGTACCATTAAACCCGCAACCAACAAGGTTGATATTTGCGATGGCCAGGAGAGCAGACTCCTGGAGCTACAATCCTCCAGCATGTTTTAAAAGGCATTCATCACGAATGCTTCCTGAGTAACTTCAAAATTTGGATTCAAGTATGAGTGATGGGGGAGTCATGGATGTGGCTTTTCTTTTTTACTTTTTTGTTTTGTGTATTTTTTTTATTTTTTATATATATAATTTAATTTTTTAATTTGGCTTAGAAAACTCACATTTGCCCCCAAAATGTAGGTCACGTGCTTATTTTTAACGAAAAAATTGACAGATTTACCGAAAAGGACCACTAGTGCAACATGTGATCTAATTGGAGGGCTTGATCTAATTTGGTTTATTAATTATTTTAGAACATAATGAATTTCTTATGATTTTTTGTCCACATGGAGCACTTGTCCACATTAGAGTTAAACTCACCCATGCCACATAAGCATTTAACGGAAAAATTATTAGATTCACTAATAGGGAGATCAATATGTAAGGTTTACGTGAGTTCATGTACAAATTTGTAAGATTTTAAAGGTTGGATATTAATTTGAAATGACCCAAACCAAACCATCTATTTTTCAAGGCTATATTCGTAGATCATCCTTGCCAAAAATTAGACAAATCGAAAACCATTTTGGCATTTAATTGTGTCCTATAAAATTGATGAACTTGGTGCTTTAAGAAAGTACTAAACTTAAAATAATTGAATGGCTAAATTGGTGAAATGCCCTCTAAACTATTGTGCCTAATTTTCAATTGACCCCCTATCCTTTATTTTGATTGAAAAATTATATAAACTCTTTTTTTTGTCAATTTCCCGTCTGCAGTCTAAATCTTCAACATTTCATCCCATTTTCAATTAAATCATTAAAAACAAAAATAGAAACAATCGAAGAAAAAGAGAACCAAAAAAAATAAAAAACTTGGGACCTCTTGACCCAAAACCATGCCCCCATTCTCTTCACCATTCCCCATGACCACCACCAACGGACACCTCCCCCCTCCTCCCACCCCCTTCCCCCGATTTCTTCTCCGCTTTCCCCGCTTCCCCACCGCAACCCACCCATACCCATTCCCCTCCTCCCTGACCTGTGCCCCTTCTCGCCCCCTTTCCCCATCACAGGCCACCTAGACCCATCTGTCTAACCCAGAACCCAGCCCCCCCCCTCCACGATTCATCTCTCCTATTCCCCATGACCACCACACGCAACCCACTCTGCACATAGAGAGAGAGAGAGAGAGGGGAAAAAAATTCAAAAATTTAAAGTTTTAAAGTTTTAAATTTTATTTTTTAGTATTTGTTTATTTTTAACATATAAAATGACCAATTTGCCCTCATATTTAACGGAAAATTAGATGAAATATTGATGATTTAGACAGCCGGAGGGGAAATTGGTCAAAAATAAAGTGTTCATATCCTTTTTCTTCTTTTTTTTTTAAATAAAAAAAAAAAAAAAAAAAAAAAGGATAAGAGATCAGATTGAAAGATAATCTTTGTAATATCATATTCAAATGAGTGGTCAAATGATAACGATTCAAGTATTTTTTGCAAAGATAATCTTAGTATGAATATCTATAAAACATACAGTTTGAATTAATAAAATACAATGCAAAGTGAGCCCTACAATAATATCCCTCATGATAGACCGTACATTATTTAGTTGATACATTTGAATGACTAAACGATCAACAATCTCTCTCTCTCTCTCTCTCTATATATATATATATATATATATATAGAGAGAGAGAGAGAGAGAGCACCAGAGAAAAAATTTCTTTCTTTTTTTCTTTCAAATATGGGATTATTGAGCAACACAACCACTGCTGATCATCCCATCTTTTTAGCCCGAATCCTACATTACAGGATCAAAAATAATCATACAACACAAATACAATTACTTCTACAGCAAAAAAACTGAAAGAGGATATACAACATAGTGCAGTGCCTATTCCAAAATTTCTATACCTACACCCAAATTATACTGATGGCTAATATTCCCACAACAATTGCTCATCAATCTTGCTCAGTTTATCATTGTCGAGACGCTTCCATGTCTTAATCCTCTCAACTCCCGTCCACCCTTTCTCCCCCTTCCCGAGTTCTGCCAATATGACCCTTGCTCTCCTTCGCCACCCTGCCTTTCCATAACCATGGTATCCAAAGCCCCCACCGTAACAAAACCAAATATTCTCCAGATCCCCACAAAAGTCATTGTTATGATCATGTCCCATGAACACAGCTTTCACATCTCGCATGGATACAAGGGTCTGCAAAACTCCTGAGTTCACCGATGAACATGCCACAGCCTCCTGAAACTGACCAACAATCTTTTTGTACCACAGCTGCCGGACCTCTGGAATTGGGATATGGAAGAATGCAAGCGCCGGTGGTTTATCCTGCGGAAAAGCGTTTTCTGAGTGATCTTGATTTCAATTATGGTACTGTTAGTGTGTTACCTGCAACATCTTAATGAAATCTAAATCTAATGAAACCTCCCTTGCAGGAATTGGAAGAACATGCTGAGCAATGGTGCACATATAGCATGAACAACTTGATACAGCTATGGAATTGTAATTTTACAAGTGTGGGGTTAAAATGATTTTACAACATATAAAACTCATTTCCACTCAATTAGGGAAAAGTATACGTGAATTTTAATGGAAAGGCCACTTCAAAAAGCAAGTGTAATAAGTTTATCAATTTGTTTCATAATAATCAGAACAATCTGAAATCAATCAGATAAAATGCAACAATATGCAGTCATAGTATCCTTGTTGATTGAATTTGTCGAATGTATACCTGATATCCCTGAGAAATGCCGTGAAGCCAATCGAGTTGAGATTCCTTAATCCAACCATAAGTTCGAACTCCTTGAACAGTCTCCCTGTCTCCACTGTCAAGAAAGAAAAGATTGAGGATGCTGCTGTTTGCCAAATGGGAACCTGGGGCACCATATACTCTCAGATCATAATTTCCAAAGCCATCAATTTTTTTCCTGCTTCCTCTGGCAAGATCAGAGAAATCTTCAGCTGATGGATTAATTTGTGAAACTGAATAATCCATAAGGGAGATAAAAGACATCAGTTCTTCACGATTCATCGTAGATTCTTGGTCGTGGTTGCCTAAAATTGCTGCCCATGGAAGTCCTGATTCAATGGCAGGACCAAATGCTCTAAACAAGGATTCAGCAGCATCAACAGAGCTTGACCCAAATATATTATCTCCTGTTTACAAACAGAGTCAAAATCAATACTTTGGGGGGTGGGGGGGGAAGGTGGGGGAAGAGAGAGAGAGAGAGAGAGGGATCAGTGCTTAGTTAGTTTTACTTTAACTATGTCAGATATAGTTGGGCCATGACACTACATGTAAAGTAACCTATATTCAGATAATTGATGCCTACATTCACTCAGAAACACTCACATAACTTAGAATTTACTGGAAGTTGGAACCATCCAGATACAGAGGATGCACAAACTAATCAACTAAGCCCATTTTTAACTTTTCCCCACCTCTTAAATGCCGTATGAAGAACTTCGGCCCTGGTTAATTAGAAGGAAAGAGTCTAATAGCTGAAGATTAGAGGCTACAGCTGCATGCACCTAATAAGATAGGATACAGAACTTGAAGAAGTTTTAGCTTAAACCATCAAGCTTCTGCTCCTTGATATGAATATTATCTTGGGTCTAGATGTTTAATGAAGTTTGGTAACCAGTCAAGGTGGTTTAGTTTCTCATTTTTCAAACTAATTTCTATTATTTCCAGGAAATTTCACACGTTTAACTTCTCGATATGAAAACTCCATGAAAAGGATATGGCACATAGGATGAGAACAATGTGGAATGCGTTCCAGTACCACTGACTTATATATGATTTTAAAACTTGAGTTCTAATATACACAAACTTCTTAATTTCAATAAGCCTGACTGAGTACAAGCATTCTTACAGGTAAAATTTTAAATATTTTCATTTTTAAACAGCTCAAAGCATGAGAATTTATTTTTAGATTACCTACTGTGCAAATATAGCTAGCCCCCCAAAAGATTAACATCCACCACCATAAGTAAATAAAAGAGTAAAAACAAACTAGAAAATATCTTAACAAATAACAACACTTGAAAACTAAAAACAAGAAAACCAAACCAATCTGTAAATTTCCAGGGAAAACGGGAAATGAAAAAAAAAAACTGCACCTGTAAAAGCAATGAAATCAGGCTTTTCAGCTTCGATCATCCTCTTCAAGAAGCGAGACGTATTGAGATCAGAGCAGTGCTCAAACTCCGAGTCCAAAACGTCTCTGCAGCGAGTCAAGGCTCCATTTCCATAATGCATATCAGCCACCTTAATCACAGACAAAAACCCATTAACAAAACCTGCTTAACATCTTAATTACACAATAATTTCAAGCATCACATACATAATCAAGGCATCAGGTGAAGTACCTGCAGGATTTTGAAGGTGCCATCAGACCGGAAGCGAAGGGGAAGATCTGGGCTGGTCTTCTTAACTCTCACAGGCCGATGGCCTATGAGTAAATTGTGAGAGATTTGGTTGTGGAGGAAGCAGAGAAGTGAGTAGAGAAAACCCAGATAGAGAAACGAGTGCTTCCAGTTTGCTGCTGTGGGCGATTCCATTGAAGGCATCAGCTGAAGGTCCAGATTCTTCAGACAGTGGGGCTGGTTGCGGCCCGGTTCAGACGGACCGCTTATTGACTTTTTACATTGTCTTCCCGCGGTCTACTGTTTTGTAAAAGTTAGGGTCCTTTGATTTCTCCAGGGGTCTCTATAAAATATTAAAGTTATGAACTACCTAAAATAGCCTCGTCTTCTAACCCTAAAATAAAATAAAATTGTTGGCAGAGTAATAAAATTGTTAATTTCTTCAAACAAATATTGTTGTAAAATGTTAAGCTCTCCTAACAAAAATATATTGTCAGCAGAAAATACCTATATATTAAGGGTAAAATTGTATAAATAAAATAATAAGTTAAAAAGGGAAAGAAAACTAGTAGTCTTTTTTATTTATTTATTTCATACAAAATTCAGTTGCAAAAGAACAACGGTACAGTTACCAAATGAAGAAATAATGGGAAGAAAAAGGTAACGGACAAAAGGGCGTAACAGGAGAAAACAAATTTAATCACAAAAAAACAAAACAAAACAAAACCAATTTGTTTATATTTCTTCATACTAAAATAATAAAATTGTGAACTTTTGTTTTGTAATTAGAGCAACTCCACCGTTCAGCCTAGCCCAAGGCTTGGGGGGAAGAAAAAAAAAACGAGCTTCCAGTGGTGAGCCTAGGCCCGGGCAACGAGTGGGTCCCACGATCTCGGATTGGCCTGAAGGCCAATTCAGCTCGAGGTCGAGCCTGCGAGTTGGGTGACGTCATGCGAGACGTCAGCGCTCTGGTTTAAATTTTTTTACCGTTGCACGCGCCAACGGTAAAAAAAATTTAAACCAGCGTGCGATGACGTCAGCGCAACGCAGCTCCAACGGGTAGTAGCCACGTGTCATGCCCTCAGCGCTCCGATATGCTTCTCCGAGTCCAATCCAACGGCTGACATTTTTTTGGCAATAAAATTATGAAAAAAAATTGAATTTTTTTTTAAATAATAAAAAATTCTGATTTTTTTTTTCTATAAATACCTATAAATACCCTTCACTTTCAACATCAATCCTCATACATTTTATTCTACTTCTACTATTACTCAACATTTTATTCACTCTTTACTCAACATTTTCCTCTCTTTCACCTTGTATTTTTATTTCTTATTTTTATGGCTTCTTCTATTGAAACCGGAGACGCGTGGAGCACCATGGAAGATGTTTCTTTGTGTGAGGCTTGGCTCCAAGTTTGTCATTGTCCCGTGACAGACAATGAGATGAAATTTTTTCATATGTGGAAAACAATTCATGCCGAATTTTGTGAAAAAATTCCAGGGTCGACTCGTACGGAAATGGCATTGTCTAGTAGGTGGAAAATTCTCAATAAAGAGTTGGGAAAATGGAGAGATGCCTTGACAAAAACGATGGACAACTATAGAAGCGGGGAAAATCGTACTAACGAGGTAAGTATTTTGTAATCTTCGTTTTATTAAGTTTAATGTCCTAATATATATATATATATATATGTTTTTAATATTTATTGCATTTTCAATATTTTGTTAATATTTCTTGCATTTTAAATATTTTGTTAATATTTCTTGCATTTTCAATATGTTGTTAATATTTCTTGCATTTCCAATTGTTTCTTAATATTTCATGCACTTCCAATTTATTTATAAGGTTAATTGCATTTCCATTATTTTTTTTTGTTACTTGCATGTCCAATATATTTTAAATATTTCTTGCATTTCCATTTTTTTGTTAAATAGATGATTCAAGCACAGATGTGGTTCGGTGCAACCAAGGGTGGCAAAAAAAGTTTCAACCATCATGAATGTTGGGAGGTGGTGAAATATTGCAAACGCTTCATAATTATTCCCATGGGTCCCGCCGTTGTGTTAAACGAGACGCCACTCCGTGATTCCCCTATGAGTCAAGACTCACCCATCGAAAAGGATATGAGGTATTAAAACCCAAAGCCATATTTTTAGTTTTGAATCTTTTGGAGTTAATGGATCTAGCTAAGTGAAAAATGACTTTAATTTGCACATTAATGATCTCTCGACTTCCCTCCATGGCACCTTAGTAACATCATGTCCCGATATTTAATTTAATTTAATTTTCAAAATTCTAAACTGAAAAAACGACTTTAACCTTAGGATTCCTTGTTGGTTTAGAGTTGACACTTTGCTCGGCGCTAGTTTTGGAAATTTTATTGGTTCCTTTGTGTAGTGCTTGACTCACGAGTTTGTAGACATGTGGTGGGCTCAAATCAAAGTTGAAACGAAGACATTTTGGTCAACGAAAGTGCAATGATGCAACCATAAATATTTCAAAATCGATTTTTTTTATTAGGACAAGCTAGCCCACGCGCACATCACACACACACACACACACACACACACACACACACACACACACACACACACACACACACACACACACACACACACACACACACATACACACACACACACACACTCTCTCTCTCTCTCTCTCTCTCTCTCTCTCTCTCCTAGGGGACGGTGCACAGCACCTCTTCAACTTCTCGGTGGCACAACATCGCCGTCCAGCCACCTCTAAAGACGAGACCGGTTGAAAAATGACAGCCACCAACCGACGAGCGTGTCTAGACCAAAGCGCTGCCCTCTCATCCCCTCAATGTGATGGCGTGAGCTCAAAAAGGGTGAGAGGGTTCGAGATTTTCCATCACCATTTCCAACAACTTCGGCGACCATTGTCGTCGATCTAGGTATGGTTCTCCATCCTTTTTTCATGCTCTAGTTGTTTATGTAGGTGGTTTGGATCGATTTTGGAGTTTTAGAAGTCAATCAACATACCCATATAAGGTAGACGGTTTTGGCCCTTTTTACCCATCTCCGGCCCCTTTTTAGCTAAGGTCCGAGACCAAAACTTGTTCCCCTTGTTAGTCTGAATGTGTTGCTATAGGTATTGTAGGGACTTTTGAGAATTTTCTTTCACCAGAATTTTCTCAAGACAGCCACCGCTGTCGGCGACGAGTGGCGGAGTGGCCACTATGTGATGGCCCATGTCATCCTAAAATGTTCCCTACATCGTCATGAGCACGACATTATATTTGAAGTTGGTTACTGTTTGACTATCAAACGGATATTGCATATATTGTGTGATATCCAGGTTCGATAGGTTCGGACCGTTAGATCAATTCCAATTTCAATTATGTTGTTCCCTATACCTCTAAGATCGTGTAGGAACATACAGATTGAGATTCGGAGTATCGGATACTCCGAGTTAATAATTCTAGGGTAGGAACCAATCGTCGTTTGATCGTGCGATTGACCTAGATCCTACCACTCGATCGATACCAAACCTTTGGGACTTGTTTAGTGGACTTTGTGGGATCTATAGGAACTTTCGAATCGGAAATCAGATGTCGTGGGCCCCGCAGGCCTAATTGACCTAGATGGTGGGCCTCGCCAGCCCAATCAAGACCAATTGGTTATGATGTATTTGTGATTGGATGTTTGTTTTAAAGTTGGTAGTATGCTATGAGAGTTTTATTAAATATTTATGAATTATTATTCTATCGCTTTTACTTTCCAAACATGTTATATTTATGTTTTATTGTGCGAATTTGAGTCAAGTTGATTTTAAATGTTTGGTTATATGTTTATTTTCTTATATGTTGAAGAGTGTGAGAAATGAAATATCTGTTGCCTTCGGAAATATTGATGTCTTTGGAAATATGCTTGCCTTCGGAGATATTGATGTCTTCGGACGTCTTGGATGCCTTCGGAAATATTGATGTCTTTGGACATCCTAGTTGCCTTTGGGAAATAAGTGTCTTCGAACAGTTGCCCTGAGTATATCTCCATGAGTTCTGCTAGGATTGCGTTCTCAGGTTGACCATTCGTCCCTAAGTTCTACTAGGATGTGCCACACATATGAAGAGGACCGTTCCACATGTGTAGTATTTGAAATTGACAGATTGTGTTTGAGGTACAACTATGTGGAGAACAGTGCAGTACTTATATGTTTTGAATAGTTAACATGATATTCTTCGCCACCCTACTTATGTTATATGACAAGGTTGCCCAGGATCCCCAGCCACCTACCCGACTTGTCTACACAGGTGCTTGACTAGTTTTCCCCTTCCCCGATTTCCTTCAGATTTAATGATATTTCTCATAAACCACTTGGTGGGTGATAGCAGGATATATGCACTATGCGAACGGTTGCATGTATGACTTTCAAGTAAAAGGTTTGGTTACACATGTGTTTGGATGTACAATGATAAACTAATTGAACAGTTAGGCACATAATTACATGAAATGACATTCAATTATATAACTTATTGAAATCATGCTAAAGAATGATTCTATATTTCACCTTGAATATTTATGTATTATCTTAGTAAGGGTACGTAGGCAACCTAGGTACAGCCGCAAGTTTAGGATTTGTTTGTTATGTTCAGTTTTGTCAAGAGTATTTTGCTGACTTATTTGTGTTGGTAAAAAGGGGGGCTTGAAGCTCATCGAAATTGTTGCTAATTGGTGTATGGTTTACACCTTGTGAAGTAATTGTGTTTACTGTGCATGTAGGTTTTTTTGTCTAAGTTTTGAGCCAGTTTCAAGAGAGTCTTTGCCGATTTTCCGGTAAAAGCCAAACCCTAAAGTTGTTTTGGAATTAGGGCAAAAATAGTATTTTACTAAGTTTGGGCCAATACATGCCCAGTGTCGGATAGGGAGAGGGTTCGTCACGGATTCCAATGGTGAATTCGGCACAGGTCATTTCACCCTTGGTAGAGTATATGTGTGAGAAACCCCCACCACCTTGTAATTTTATTTTATTTATAGAAAATTGTAGACTTCATTCCAATAAAGAATGTGGAACATCGGGCATGTATGCGTGTCCTCATTAAAACCGTCCTGAAGAAAACCACATGGAAAAAATCCCAGAGTAAGAAAAAGTATCACATATGCCAAAGGAGTACATAAGCAAAAGGATTACAAAGCATCAACTAACAAAACATCCTGAAGTTTTGTAGTTTAAACCATTGCTTATATTCAAAATATATATTTTGAAAGCTTCAACTAGCAAATATATGTAATTTATTTAGATGCATAAAATGAATTAGTAGGATTCAGTTTTGGACTGAATTGGTTAAGGCAATTTTTTTAATTTATCGGTTTATAGTTTAAGTTATATGTTTTTAAAACAAATATTATAATTGGCCAAGTTAGTTAAATAGATTAAGGGTTTAAATTAGAAAAGAAATATTATGACGCTCCATTCCGGGCAAAGAACACTCATGTTGATGCATTGACAAGCCTAGGATCAGCACTGAACACCCAGTTCAGAAGCTTCATCCCGGTCGAACACATTAACCTTCCAAGCATCAAAGAGATAGAACAAATTGACTCCATACAGATTGATGAGGACCCTAGCTGGCAAGACCACATCATTGATTACTTGGCAAATGGAAATCTGCCAAAGGAAAAATCTAAAGTTAGGAAGCTCCAGTAGAAGGCCACGAGATACTACATGTAAAACAACAAGCTTATTCACATATCATACTTTGGTCCTTATCTTACTTGTATAAAGTACCCTCAAACACTTGATGTGCTCTACCAAATTCACAACGATGAATGTGGCAACCACTCTTGGGGCAGGTCACTCGCCCAGAAGGCTCTTAAGATAGGATATTTTTGGTCTACCATGTACCATAACTCAATAGAATATGTCAAAAGATGTGATCGATGCCAACGGTAAAAGCCAATTCTAAACCTACCTGTCGAAGTTTACCATCTATAGAACAATCCACGGCCATTCATGCAATGGACCATTAACTTAATAGGCCCCATGCCATGGGCACCCGCCAAGAAATACAAGATCATTGTCGCCACCGACTACTTTACTAAATGGATCAAGGCCAAAGCTCTATCATCTACCAAAGAAGCCGATGTGGAACGATTTGTCTGGAGAAACATTATATGCCGATTTGGCTGCTCATAGTCACTGGTTACCGACAATGGGCTACAATTCATTGGCAAGCAGATCACCGCCTTCTTAGCAAAGTACGGTATCAAGCAGCACATGTCTACCTCGAGGTATTCGCTGGGCAATGGCCAAGTAGAGGTATCCAACAAAATTATATTGCATTTCTTAAAGAATAGACAAGAGAAGAACAACTGACGAAACTCCATTTTCCTTAACCTATGGAACTGACGCAATCATTCATTGGCACATCATTGTCCCTTATATAAGCATTGAGGTGGACAGTATTGAACAAAAATCTGAACAAATGAAGCTTAACCTCGACCTACTTGAAGGATAACGCGAGATAGCTATTATCTGAGTTGTCTCATACTTGCAACAGTTGAAGTCTTACTATGACAAAAGGGCCAAGGTCAAACAATTTCAACCTATCGACCTTGTACTTAGAAAGACTTTCATTACTGCGCAAACACAGGGATCAAAGAAGATGAAACCCAATTGGGAAAGCTCTTACGTGATCAGCCAGTCTAAGGGCATAGGAAGCTATACACTTGACATCACGGAAAGAATAAGATTTTAAGACAATAGAATGTCTGCCACCTCCAAAGATATTACCCGTGAAGCTTCCTTCTACCGGCTTAATCCCTGATATACGATGAAGCCATGCCCACTTCTGAAGAAGAAAAACAACTACTGGTAATTCCAATTATTTTCATTTCAAATAAAGCGATGTAATCATACAAGCATCAATACAAGTTCAGTTTTTCGTTAAAAAAAAGTGTGCAATTATCTATAAAGCGTCCTTTGGGAGATGCAGGTCTAGCAGACTATCACTCATAAGCCGCATCCTTAGGGAGCTGCAGGGTGAAAACAATGAAGTGTATTCCAGAATCATTACCCATAAGTCGCATCCTCAGGAAGATGTAGGGTGAAAATTATAAAGTGTCCTCTGGGACCATCGCCTATAAGTCTCATCCTCAAGGAGGTGCAGGGCGAAAACTATGAAGCGTCCTCAAAGAGACGCATGTCAAGCAAACCATCGCCCATAAGTCGCGTTCTCAGAGAGAAGCAAGGCGAAAACTATAAAGCATCCTAAGGAAAAAGCGAAAGAGCACCTTTAAGTAAGTAGTGGGTAAACATTCAAGCATCTTAAGGGAGATACAAAATTAAGGCACCATCAGGTCGCGTAAGCAGTCCACAAGACACAATACAAATTGAAGCTAAAGAAATAACCGAAGTTTCCATAGCAAAGTGACCAACCGGCCAAGTTCAACAAAAAGAAGATGGTCAAACACGACCAATTATTACAAACAAGAAAGCTAATTACAAAAAGCTTGAAAAGATAAAGGAGACTTCATCTCATTCGAGATTCTGGCAGGAGACCTTTGGTTAATGACCTCTTCGGCATCCATCTGATCAGCTATGGCTTCAACAACTCCAGTTGCCTGCTCCACGACGTCTGCCACTATCTCATCAGCCACACCCTCCTCGGCACCTTTCTCTTCGGCTACAGTCTCGTCAGTTGCCTGTTCTTCAGTTCCATTCACATCCACAACATTGACATGCTCACTTCGAGAAGGGACACAAGTCAAGGCAGAGCATCTTAACATCTTCATCTGTAATGAAATAGTAAGAAGTGGCACCACTTAAGTAGTCCAAATACCTCAGCTTGTATGCAGCGACGGCAACCTCAAACTTGGAACGCTTAGCAGCCTCATGGTAGGCAAACTTGGCTAGAAACTTGTTATAACAGTGGGAGATATCAATATTCTTGCGCTTAAGACGAAAGTAGGCCTCTTTTGACTATGCATGGTGGCAACAGAATAGTTAAGTTCACTATCATTCTTAGCAAGGGAACTCTTCACCTCATATGTATTCTCCCTCAATTCAAACATCCTATTTTCATAACGGATTTGCTCGGTTGAGAGCTTGCTAGTTAGATCAGTATTCTTCTTATCCAACTCACTAAGCTGAGCAGAAGATGGTGCAACAGCAGATAAGCTCTGGATGGTTTCAACAGCAAAAACTACATTTTTTTTGAAGCAAATGAATAATCGTTTCCTTTTGCTTCTCTAAGGAAAGCCTTGAGAATGTACTAAGTTCACCAACCTGATGGATATGATCAGCCAGCTTGCCACAAGCAGACGGGCTTGATAGTTTGTCTTGAGCAGATCAGACACACATACATCCTTTACATGATTATATTTGTCAACCTTAGGATCAGCAGTTCGCATTTCCCAAAAACCTTTCACTCGAGCAGATGACTCTCTGGCCTTCTTAGTTGCCGTCATCCTGACCTCCAAATGAGTCAACAACGCCGAATCAGCTCCATGTTTGACTGCTCGTGGCTTAACAGCCGGATCATGATGATTAGAAGGAGGAGCAGTCCTCCAGTTCGATCATCATCCCTTAACCGATATAAGCAACTTGAACTTAGGAGAGCAATATTAGCATATCTTTGCCTCTCGGTATGTAAACTAGTTTGGGACCGATCACAGTTTCTGAGCTTGTCAGTAGGAAACGAGCTGAATGTCTTGAACATTTCGCATACCACCAATCTTCTTGCTGTCTGCACCAATGAGATGCTTAACTCTAGTAGATGACGAGGGAGCGGTTCCTACTTGAGTCTTCTCAGCATATGATACATCTTTCGAGGAAAACTTGGTCACAACAAAAGGGAGTCTTAGCTTCTTTCTCAACGGAGCCACATCCATCGCCCGCAAAGTTACAGCTTCATCTCTTAGGAACTTGACGTCAGCCTTCCTCTTTAAGGGTGGTTCGGCAGAACACTCATCCTGTTCCGTAGGCAGATCATCAAAGTCTGGACCATTCTGCTTCCATCACTCGACATCCTGGGTAGGGGGCAGACTGCCAGCTTTCTCCTAATACTCGCTCAACAGCCAGCGCCATTTGCAAAAATGTTTAGAGCCCGATGGACCTTAATCATGCTCGGTCCAAGGTCCAGTCTCTTGCAGATATCATTCTCTGCAAGCATAAGACAAAAGTTAGTTAGTCATAGTTCAAGAAATTCAAATAAAAAGAAAGCATATCAAAAGGCAATATGACGTACCATCGCAGTGTTGTGAATTTTAGACAACCTGAAAAATGGAGATTATAAATATTAGTTTAAACACAAATTATACTCGCAAGTGCACAAGGTCAATCATAATATAGTATGGCAAATATGAGGTCATTCCCATGAGGATTGAGTTCAATTTCCAATTAATCTAACCTAATTTACTTCACAAAATACTTCGACTACTCTAATTATATAAACAAGAAATTAAACACATAGCATACTCACGCATACACAAAAGGGGTTTTTGAAAGAATGATTTAATTACCAACAAAATTAAAAGACAAAACAAGTAAACAGTCACGAAACACAAATATGAGAAATTCAAATTGATAAAACCACTAGGACAATTAATTCACCACTAGTATTCCAATCTAACCTCTTATTCACCTACCTATTAACTAACCATTTGACGTCGCCGCTTAGTTTTTCTTTTTCATGAATTACCTATAGTATTTAGGCTAACTCATGTATTCCTACATGCAATTCGCATATGGTATTTAGGTCAAATATCAACACATAGAAACTCATTAAGATCAGTGAAAACCTCCAACAAGCATGTAAACTCTAGGAGTATGGTATTTACCCTAGAAGAATTACGAATCTTAATCACAAGAAGCAAGCCTCAAATTAAGTATGGTATTTACTCTAATTTGCATCGGTTAACTCAATTAAAAATATATATGGTGATCAAGCATCAAGATTAAGAATCCAACATCTAACGGCGACCAATAGATAGGTAAAATAAGAAAACTAGATTATCATACTAGGGCTACATCATGCCCTAGCAAAATAAAATTAGTTGCACATAATCATAGAATTCAGCATAAGCAAAAACATAAGGAAGAAAAAAATAAAACTTAGCCAATTGTGGTACTCTTCCGGTGTAACTCCCAAAGGAGTTGTTTCTCATGCTTAAATAAAACACCACACGTCTATTCTTACCCTAGCTGGGCTTTTACAGCAGCCCAAAAATAAAGAAAAACCTAATTAAAACATAAATCCAAAATGGGTAAGTAATTGACTCATCTTCCTACCTTGACCAGGATAACACGTCAGTTACTTTGCACTCACATTTAAGGTCTTTCCTCCTCTAAGAAAATTTGGAAAAAAAAATATAAATTGTACGTCTTTGTCTTATCTTTTCAGCCATATATCGTACGCCTTGAGGAAAAATTAGAAAAGTCTTCAAATAATCATTCTTTCACAGCAGCACAGTTTTGACGGGATTGCACCTTATGCTGATTTAACTTCAAAGACTACTCCAAAAAATACTAGAAAAATTCTACAATCATCTTCAAGATCTTAGCTTTCATTTCCAACTAGTCTTGCACAAAAGCTGCACCAAAAAATCATATTTCCGTTGAAAACCAATTACTTGCTCCGGAAAGCTAAAAATTGAGAAAATAAAGTAATAAGTCCTTTTAAAATCAAATTCTCCTAGAAAAACATTAAAAGAGTACATAAATGTGTAAATTTATGGACTTATCACGCAGTACATGATGGGAACAAACGGACCATCACCAACCTCGCCTTCCCACGGTCCATTGACTTCCAGCACATCGGCATGCCATACAAGATCTCCTTGGCTGAAGGCAACAACTTGGTTTTTCAAAAGGATTTCATGTTGACCCAATTGGTCAAGCTGGAGGTTTAAGATTATTGTGGAAGATGGATATTCAAGTTAAATGATGTAATTACCTCAAAAAAACAATTCCAAGACTCAATTGAAACTCGAGGTAAAATCAAGGACCTCTAAAGTTAAAAACCCTTTATTAAAAACACGAGATACTGTTTTTAGGAAAAAGTAAAAATTGTGTTTTGTGTTTTCAACGAATACAAAGAACACGTCGTTTTCAAAAGCACGGGATTCAAGTGCAATTCCTATTTTCTTTGTTTCCTCATGGGCTCTAAATCTTGCATGCCAAGAAGTCATGCACCGTCAAGCATGAATTATGCCTTGATTTCGAAGACTTGGAAATGGTTTTATATATAATTATTGGATTCAAAAGTAATTAAATGGCAGCTAATTAAAGACTAGAGAGACGATTTGCTGGCAAGGTACCTAAGAGCATGTCCATCCCAAAAGGCTAAGGCAAGGGTAAGGGTAAGGCAAGGGCTGCTACTATTCACATGAATAGTGGCAGCCTTACCTTTTTTAGTTCCATCCCAAAAGGCTAGGGCAAGGGCAAATACTATTCATTTTACTTTATTTTCTATTTTTTTTAATACTTAAACCATTAATTTTGATAAGCTTTTTAGATAATATTTTCGATTGTCACGTGTCACTAGTTATTATAAAATTCTCACTTAAAATTTAAGATAACATTTTTCGGATAAAATTTTCAAATAAAATTTTCGGATAAAATTTTTGATTGCCACGTGTCCATATTTATTATTAAATTCACATCTCACTCATCATACAATTGAAATACCTACTCACTCATCATACAATTGAAATATTCTCGGTCCTCATGGTCCAACACAATGGAGTACAAGGACAACTCCATCATTGGCGGAGGCGGTTCCACCGGATCACGATGTGGGGGAGTATTTTCCTTCGGATGATGTAATAGTGCCATTATTTCCGACACGGAACGCACCACTGGAACTGACTGCAGACATTGTTCACTTGAGGAGCCATGTGTAATGGTTTTTCTCTTTTTTGTTTTCCCTTGAATAATCTATTTATTTTTATAAAAAAAAAGAAATTGGAAATGCAAGAAATATATATATAATGACATTAAATTGAATAAAACGGCAACAAAAAAAATTTTACCTTGTCGCCAAGATTTTGACCTCTTCGAATGTTTGTCCACAACCCTCCGACTTCGATGGAAGAGACCATTTGTATTTTTGCACAAATGGAATTTCGTAGTAGAAAATTTGGTGTGGAAAGTGAAAAATATTGGAATGAGATGAATTTGTATGAAGATTTGGTGTGGAAAGTGAATAAAATTGTTAGGTATTTATAGGGAAAAAATCCATAATTTTTGGGTATTTTTTCGAATTTTTTTACAATTTTTTTAGCCAAAAAAATGAGGACCGTCGGATTTCTGGAAAAAAAAACAATCGGAGCGTCCCAGAAGCTCCACGTGGATTTTTCCCGTTAGGTTCTGTCATGTATGATGTCAGCGGTGACGTCGCGCTGACGTCATCGAGTGGAAGTCAAAAAATTTGTTTACCGTTGGCTCATGACTCGTTGACGTCAGCATGACGTAAGCACTTTCAGGCTGAAGCCCAAGCAAGATCTGCCCTTGGGCTTGATCGAGCTGGTAGGACCCAGGGCTTGCCCAGACTCTCTTTCCTGCGCTGGGGGGGCCTCTTGCCTTGGCAAATTAGGCTGCGATTGAGGTGGCCTAATAATTTTTGTTTTCACCATATATTTGGCTAGGTAGCTCACCGAGTCTCTGTTCGGTTCGTCCCTGCCTGCTTGTCACATGGCCAACAAACTTTTTCAAAATTATTGACAATTATTGCTTTGAAAAGTGATTTGTATTTGACAAGATTAGATTTTTTAAAAAAAAACCTATAAAATAAGATCAACATGTTTAATAACTAGATACGACATATTTGAATTTACTACATGATTTATTTGTTTCTTTCTCTTCTTATTCAAATGTTGAAATACATAAATCAATCTACAGTATCCGATACATGTTTATCTCAAGAGAAGGTTAGATTCATTCACAACCCTCAATCCGTGAAATAGGGTATGAATTCATGACCAATCCCAAAGGTGGGCAATCATGTAAAACATGTGCTAGCTCTGGGCTTCATTTATTGATTTATTTTCCTTGAATAAGTAAAAGAAAAAAATTGACAAAAAAGAAAAGTAAAATAGATCTTAAAAAATGGTTAGTAAATGGTCAAAGGTTTAAACGCGTGTTTAATGAGGGTCAAATGGTTTAAACGCGTCACCTTGGTGAAAGTCAAATTGGTCTTATTCTCTTTTTTGTTGGTCTTGCTCTCAATAGACAAGTGCTGAATTAAGAACACTGTTGTTGCCAAAAAAAAAAATAGGCGGCTTAGGTGATCCCACCTCACTACTATTTTTATTCTATTTCACCAAAATAAGAGTAATTAATTACTACTCTATGCTATGCATGAAGCATATTGCTCTTATAATTTCTGGAATATATATAGTAGGTTTTTCCATGTTTTTTGTAAGATGATGTGGCTAACGTTTAATCCCGACACTACAAAGGAAAACTTTATTAAATACTAGAAAAATGATAAATAGTTTAACACTTAAAACCATCTCATTAATTCTCATTAATTCATAAAACTTAATCGTTGTTTTCTGAGAAAACCCTAAAGAAAAATTCTTTGCCACCGTCGAGAGCAGGGTCCACCTTTCCTATTGTAAGTTCTTTCATGTCTTTATTCAATAACACTAACTTTGGTCAAACATAGCTTCAGTAGGTAAAATAGAAATCTACCCTATATAATGTTAAAATGACAATATTTTTATTTATTGTTCATAATTAAAATATATAAGAAAAATGAAAAACAAATAATAAGTAGTTGTCCTAACCAATAATCAAGTGGCTTTGATTGTTGATAAAGCAAAAATGATTTCCATTGCATACTTATCGCAAGTTACAACCCCGTAAATATGGTCCCTACAAAATTCTAAAGAAGATCAACGATAATGTTTATGTTGTGGACGTGCCCCCATCCATAGAGATGTCAAGCACTTTCAATGTTGCTGGGCTGTACTGTATGCATTCCATGAAGATGATCCACTCTATCTTGAAGATAACTCGGGGTCGAGTTCTTCCAAAGTGGAAGGGACTAATGTAGAACATATTGCCAAGTTGATCGAGAAACAGCTGGACAGGCGCACATGGCGGAGCCATGATTTCTATCAAGGAGGGTCAACTTTAAATAGCTTTATAATTACAATGAACTTAGTTTTTATAGGAAAATATATATAAGAATTTATTATAATGATTAAATTTCAATATCACAAATTTAATATCTTAGTAAGTATAACCCAAATTCTAGCAACCTAAAAATAATGAAAGAGTATCAAAAGTTGATTTTAGATAGAATGAGAAAATCAAATAAAATCCATGACACACATATAAATGACATATGAAGACATGAAAACAAATATAGATCATATTCATGTTCATTGTAGACAATTTACATTTGTGAGAAGGGTCAATAGTAAGTATAGCTATAAAACAGCTTGAATAACATAGATAATATAATATTTTCAAAATGTTGAGAAGGGTCAAGTGACCCCTGTGGGCCTTAATTGGCTCCGCCAACGCCGCACATTGTCGCGGCAGCAAAGCCCAATCTGTAGTATGGGCCTCGAGCTTAGAATCAAGTCCGTGACTTATCGTTTCAAATAAAACGGCGTGACAAGTGCAACTCACTGCTTTGCTGTGACGTATGAGTTATTTTAGCCAAATTCAATAATTTACTTTGACTTTTCAACATTTAAAATTTTTAGAATATTTTGGGAAACTTTTATTATTTTCCTTTTTGTTTTCTAATTAGCTTTCCTAGCAAGTCTAAGTTTTCTCATTAGCTTTTCAAGCAAGAGGGTTTCTCATGTATAAAAGGAATGCGTTGGAGCATCCTGAGTCATTCATCTTATTTTCAATCAATATATTTGAGGTTTACTCAATTTCTCTAATGGATTTCAGTTTGTTGGTGGATTTTGACATTGTTACTTGTAGAGTTATCATTCGATCTCCCTATCCATTATATCTCGCTGCGTCATAAAGCAAAAATGATTCAATAATAACTAGCACACTAAATTAACTCCATCTAAAACACAAGCGTTAGCATCAAGCTGGGGTAGCAAAAGGTTCCAAAAACATAAAATAAAGTAATTAAGAAACAAGAAGAAGACAAGCATGGGGATTAATTGTTGCAAAAATAAGGACAAGAAGAAGAGGGCAGGAGTTGTTAGTTAGTTACAATAAAAACCCAATTAAGAACACAAAGCAGGTTCTTTAATTAAAACACAAGTTAATTAAGATGCCTTCATCTTCGTGTCTAAATAATGATGTACTCCATAAGACAAGACATTGGTTTGACGAAGAAAAGATAAGACAAGGCATTGGAAAATTTGATCTGAGAATCGAATGAGATTTTGTTTCAGGGGTTTTTGTCTTTCTACTGGAAAGCCTTCAATCCTAGTGGTCAGACAACCCGTACTGAGAGACTTTGCTATGATTTGGCACATCTCTTTCTCTCTTTTCATGCTTCTTTTTCAACTTATCTCGGTTTAGTGTGTGTTTTTTCTTCCATGTATTTAATCAATCCTTCAATTGAAACTTTTCCTTGACCAAGAAAAATAGCTCGCAGTGTTGTTTTTTTGTTTTTTAATATCTGAAATGTCCCTTTTTTATGTGTCTTTTTCAAGATTATCTATTGGAAAAAAGAGAAGAAGTTTAAACTAGAAGTAATTAAATTCAAAATAATACAAATAGGAACCAAAAAATGCTTAATATTAGGGTATCATCTCACAAATATATTGGAATGTTATCTAATTTAGTAACTTTTTTTTTTGGGGGCCAAAGTGAGGGAAAGGGAGTAGAAATTCGAACTCTTCCTTTTATGAAAAATAAACCTAGTTTTTAAAAAATCCATAATTCTATCACATTTCTCTATTTTCTTTTTTCTTTACTTTTTCTATGTAGAACCTAACACTCTTCTATAGTAACAAAATGCATGCAATTCAAAAGAAATTTAGACATGAGAATGAAAGAAAAACAAAAAGAAGAGGGGGCATTTAAGAATTTTATAATACATTTGTACAAGATCACTAACATAAATTTTCCATACGACAACATTTGAGATGGGCCAATGCAAGTGTCAGTTTTCATTGGACTAGAGACTTCGTTGGCATCCAATTTAAAAATTTCAATCCTAACATTTTAAAGTTTCTCAAACAATAACCAAGACATTAGTCCCACTTATATAAGTGTTTCTCCCATTTATCGGAAAAAAAACACTTACAGTATTTCCAGCCCTAAGTCAGCAAAAACAACCACCAAGACAGTACCCCCATTAGTTGGCATTGAAATTGTTTGTCTACCCCAGAGAGCAACTTCCTAGGAAGGAAAGAAAAGAGAGCAATTTCCAAGTGGTGGCCAGTGCGCCTGATAAATGGGTTTATTACCACCGCTTTGATCAGAGCAGCAATCTCCTAAACTACGTTGTATGAATGCCCAGCACACTCTTGACGAATCTTCATCCGTTTTAAAGTCAACGGTTTCACTGGGTTTATGACGTCATAAAGAAAACGATAGCTGACGTCACACATGGGGAGGGCTAATAAAGATGGCAGCAATGATTAAGGGAACATGTGCTTTTGGACTTTTTACCCTTTTTTAGAGGGAATTGAAATTTTATCTCACCAGTTCCTATCATCTGATTGAATGATAGTTATCTATTAAAGATGTCCAAATACGTATGAGAAATTAATGTTTGGGTTAAATCTTATCATGTAGATCCATAACATGGTAATTAACGGGTGGATTAGTATTGATACTTGACACACGATAATATGAGGGATTATAGAATGGTATTGAAGTACGGTTATGTGGTATAATTTGTACATGTGTTATTAAAATATGAGTAAATAACACAGTTTATATTTCCCTTTTTTAGGGAATAATATAAAAAAAGGGTTTAAGAAACGGTTAATTGAAGAGACGGTTTGAGATCCTTTAATGCATTGGACATAAGTTTTTATAATATTTTAAGATGTTTTCTTTATGTTATAATTGATGTTCTTTTGTGTTTTGGTGTTCAACTGACAGGAAAATAGATTAACCTTTTATACCTACACTAGGCTCTATACGTAGATTAACCTTTTATACCTACACTACACTAAAGAACCAAATACAAAGGGATTAGAGTGATTGTGATTTGATAAATAAAAAATTATAAATTTAAATAAATAAATAAAAAGTAATCGAGTCCATTCGTCACACTCCGTCAATTTAACCGTCAATATCAAAGGTAAAATCAGACTTCTGACATCCACCCATCTTTTCTTCGGGGCATATTTCAAAGGATTGGTCTAGATTGGGTACCTGAGCCTTGCCAGAGGACTAAATGGGAGCCTATGAGTGGTGCTGCAAGGTTGTCTAATTCTAGGGGGAGATACGTCTAATAGGCTACTTAGAGCATCCACAATGGGCTCCCTAAACCACATCTTTAGACAAATTTTAGGGAGGAATTGTAAAAATGTAACTCTAACCATGCTCCCTATCCACCTCCTAAAATAGGGAGTCCTCTAGGAGCTCCTAAATCTGATGAGAGAGAAATGACTCCTAGTGGCTCCCTATAATTTAATGCTGATTTATTTAATGAGTATTTCAAACCTTTATTTAATGCTAACTATTTTTTATTTTATTTTTTAATATAGATGGACCAATCAAAAAATAGTTATAGTATTTATGACTCTCCAAATTAAGGAGTATTGTTGAAGTTGAAATTTTTTAGAGAGCTCCTAAAATAGCTTTCTTATATTTTTAGCTAAGAAATAGAGAGCATCATTGTGGATTCTCCCCCTCTTTGGTTTTGATTGTCAAGCCATGGTCTTCCGTGCCTATATGTTTGTTAGTGTTGGTTGGCTTTTGTGGTTCTCGGTACTTGACTCTAGGTGGCTTCTGGTCTTTCAAGAATTAATTACATTATACTTCTGCTCTATGAAATTTACAGTATAAAATGGGACATGGTGGATGCGGAAGAGAAGATAGAGAAATTGGGAGAAAAGATGAGGGTGGGGTTAGTATGAATTTTTATTTTTATTTTTCCAAAACCATGGCTAGAGATTATGATGTGGATTTACTTGGAAGAGTTGGGCTGATAAAAGAAGCTTAGGAGACTCTTGTTTTGAAAATAACACTTTTAGCTCTTATTTTGACAGTTAAATTATCAGACTATCACGGTATGACTCAATTGCCTACTTGTCACATGGCCGACAGGCTTTATCTAAACAATTTATTGCTTTGAAAATTGATTTGGAAGAAATGATTTGTATTTGACAAGAAGATTAGATTTGTCAAAAAAAACCCATGAAATGAGATCAACGTGTTTTATATCTAGATGCAACATATTTGAGTTTACTACATGTACGAAATTATTTGAAATTCATTTGTCTCTTTTCCTTCTTATTCAAATATTGAAATACGTGAATCAATTTACTACATCCGGTACATGTTTATCCTAATTGAGAATCGACAAAATATCAATAATATATCAAATATTGTAGATTGACATTCGGTGCCAAACTATATATTCCCTAATTATTTTCAGCAATTGAGACCCACAAATTAAGGAAAGAAGGATGGCCTTTGCTAGAAGTGTCCGTGCCGTGGAGAAGAAAAAGATTGCCATGCAATTCAGTCGTAGGGTAGATTCATTCACAACCCTCAATCCGTGAAATAGGGTATGAATTCATGACCAATCATGTAACACGTGCTAGCCCCTTCAAAAATATATATCTAATGTCTCATGAATCTGGGGCTTCATTCAATGTTTTCCAACTTTTTTAACAGAAGTAGAAGAAAAGGGTCACATGAAACACAAGGATCAGTCATCAGGAAGTAAATTTATGGGGATAATTAGTGAGAAGCAAATGGTTCAATGGTTTAAACGCGTGCTTAATGAGGAGCAAATGGTTTTATGTGATGTTTTTTTGTGGTGTCGTGTGGGTCAAATGGTTTAAACCCGTCACCTTGGTGAAAGGCAAATTGGTCTTGTTCTCAATAGACAAGTACTTAATTAAGAACATTGTCGTTGCACAGTAAAGAAAGAAAAACTACACACTTGAAATGACGGCTTAGGTGATCCCACCTCACTAACATTTTTATTCTATTTCACC